GTCCACAGAATATTTTGCCAGTACTGCTGTGGAACATCCAGGTGCTCTTGTGCAAACTGTAAACGTGCAGCAATGTTTTGTTTGGACAGCAGTGGCTTCCTCTGTGGTATCCTCCCATGAAATCCATTCTTGTTTAGTGTTTTACGTATTGTAGATTCGCTAACAGGGATGTTAACATTTGCCAGTGACTTTTGTAAATCTTTAGCTGACACTCTAGGATTCTTCTTCACCTCATTGAGCAGTCTGCGCTGTGCTCTTGCAGTCATCTTTACAGGACAGCCACTCCTAGGGAGAGTAGCAGTAGTGCTGAACTTTCTCCATTTATAGACAATTTGTCTTACCGTGGACTGATGAACAGCAAGGCTTTTGGAGATACTTTTATAACACTTTCCAGCAATGGCGTACTAAGAGGGGAGCGGAGGGGGCGGTCCGCCCCGGGTGCCACCAGGGTGGGGGGTGCCATGACCCTGGTCTGGGAGCTGGATGGGGCTGTGTGAGCTGTATGGCAGCACTGTGCCCCATGGTAGTTAGGGTGCCGGTCGGCCAGAACAGCTCACACACTAAGAGCAGCTGAACTGACCGCACGGAGGTAAAGTGGGGGCGGAGCTAATAAAATCAGGGGCGGAGCCAAAACGGCAGCGGTGGGGCAGGGCTTAATATGGCCCTTACTCGCTGCTGTTACTGCTCCACATGGAGAATACCTGCTTCTCCACAGGCTTCAGGGAATCCAGGCCTCCTCCAGCCCACTGTCTTTAAGTAAGAGTGTGTGACTGTGACAGTGTGTCTATGTGTGTGTGTGTGTGTGTAAAACTGTCTGTCTGTAACTGTGTGTGTATGTGTGTGTGAGGCTGTCTGCCTGTAAATTTGTCTGTGTGTGGGTGTAACTGTCTGCCTGTAACTGTGTGTGTGTGTGTGTGTGTGTGTGTGAGATGGTCTGCCTGTATCTGTGTGTGTAACTGTCTGCTTGTAACATTGTGTGTGTGTGTGTGTGTGTGTGACTGTCTGCCTGTAACTGTGTGTGTGTGTGACTGTCTTCCTGTAACTGTGTGTGTGTGTGTGTGTGTAACTCTCTGCCTGTGACTGGGTGTGAGTGACTATATATGTGACTGTCTGTCTGTAACTGTGTGCGTGACTGTCTGGCTATGACTGTGTGTGACTACCTGTAACTGACTGTGTGTGTAACTGTCTGCCTATAATTGTGTGTGTGACTGCATGTGACTATGAATGTGTGACTGTCTGCCTGTGACTGTTTGATGTTGCCTGTAACTGTGTGTGTGACTGTCTGTGACTGTGTGCATGTGACTGTCTGCTGCCGTTGTGTGTGTGTGTCAATGTATATGTGACTGTCTGCCTGTAACTGTGTGCATGACTGTCTGTGACTGTATGTGTGACTGGGTGCCTGTAACTGTGTGTGTGTGTGTGTGTGTGTCTGCCTGTAAGTGTGTGTGTAACTCTCTGCCTGTGACTGTGTGTGTGAGTGACTGTATATGTGACTGTCTGTTTGTAACTGTGTGCGTGACTGTCTGGCTATGACTGTGTGTGACTACCTGTAACTGACTGTGTGTGTTACTGTCTGCCTATAACTGTGTGTGTGACTGCATGTTACTATGTATGTGTGACTGTCTACCTGTGATTGTTTGATGTTGCCTGTAACCGTGTGTGTGACTATCTGTCTGTGACTGTGTACATGTGACTGTCTGCTGCTGCTCTGTGTGTGTCAATGTTAATGTGACTGTCTGCCTGTAACTGTGTGCATGACTGTCTGTGACTGTATGTGTGACTGTCCGCATGTGACAGTGTGCGTGTGACTGTCTGCCTGTAACTGTGTGTGACTGTATGCCTGTAACTGTTTGTGTGACTGTCTGCCTGTTAATGGTTAATGTGTGTGGGGCTGCAGGGATTTTGTAGAAGGGGGCAGGGGTTTTGTATTGGGAGAGGAGTCTTTATAAGGGGGGATTTGTGGAAGGGAGTTGCGGGGGTTTTGTAGACGGGGGCAGTACAGGATTTGTAGAAGGGGCAGGACAGGGATTTTGTAGGAGTGGGCGGGGCAGGACAATGGTTTTGTAGGAGGGGCTGACAGCGGTTTTGCAAAGTTTAAAAGTTGTAAAAAAAAAAAAGGAAACATTTTGGGGGGTCGAGGGGGTGCCAAGCACAGGATCCGCCCCGGGTGCCAAATGCTCTAGGTACGCCCCTGCTTTCCAGCTTTATGCAAGTTAACAATTCTTAATCATAGGTCTTCTGAGAGCTCTTTTGTGCGAGGCATCATTCACATCAGGCAATGCTTCTTGTGAAAAGCAAACCCAGAACTGGAGTGTGTTTTTTATACGGCGGGGCAGCTGTAGCCAACACCTCCAATCTCATCTCATTGATTGGACTCCAGTTGGCTGACATCTCACTCCAATTAGCTCTTGGAGATGTCATTAGTCTAGGGGTTCACATACTTTTTCCACCTGCACTGTGAATGTTTACATGGTGTGTTCAATAACAACATGGCAATATTTCATTCTTTGTGTGTTATTAGTTTAAGCAGACTGTGATTGTCTATTGTTGTGACTTAGATGATGATCAGATCACATTTTATGACCAATTTGTGCAGAAATCCATATCATTCCAAAGGGTTCACATACTTTTTCTTGCAACTGTATAGCGTTCCATCTGTTTCAAACAGGGGTTTACTATATGAAACCCATTTGGATAGTTCTAATATTTCTACAACACAGATTTGGCTATTGTATCCACATTTGTACTGCTTTTGGCAGCTGTTTGGATTGCCTTTTCGGGGAAAAGGCAGTGATTACATTGCTGGCTAGTTACACCTCTCGTCAGTGGCGGCTCTAGACTTGGCAAGGACTTAGGTGAAACCATACATGAGCCCCACGCTAACACCATTATTGAAAAAAAAATAGCAGTTGACTTGTGTGTGTATAAGAAGCTGTAGATATATTGAAGGGGGAGCTTTTAGCACTGGATATAGAGAGCTAGTCTCTGTATACATTGTTGCATTGTCTACCTGAGTGTGCCTAAGAGTGTCTGTCTGGCAGTGAGTATCCTTGTATCTGTATGCATGTTTCTCTGAGCATGTGTATGTTTGTGTACTGCCTGTGGCCTTTGGCACTGAGTTTATGGCGAAGGTATGTTTTATGACTGTGTATATAATGATTGCCTTCAGGGGGTGACAGGGTGAGTTAAGGGGTAACTGTGGCAGGAGTGTAAAAGAGCAGGAGGGTGCCAGAGTGTTGAGGGTTGACAGTGTGTATGAAGGGAGGTGCCAGAGTGCGCAGAGTGGTGCTCGTGTGTGGAGAGTGGTGCCCATGTGTTTGGAGGGAGTGACAATGTGCATGGAGGGGGTGCCAGTCTGTGCGGAGAGTGGTGTCAGTGATTGCGAAGAGTGGTGCTTGTGTGTGCGGAGAGAGTTGACATTGTGTACGGAGAGAATTGACAGAGTGTGCAGAGAAAGGTGACAGTGTGTGAGAGGAGGGTGACATATTGTGAGAGGGAGGGTGACAAAGTGAAAGGGGGGGTGACCTAGTGTGAGAGGGGGGTGACCTAGTGTGAGAGGGGAGACCTAGTGAGAGGGAGGGTGACAGAGTAAGGGGGGTGACAGTGTGAGAGGGGGGTAGCAGTGTGAGCGGGGGGTGACAGGTGAATGACAGAGTAAGAGGGGGGTGACAGAGTGAGAGGGGGTGACAGTGTGAGGGTGGGTGACATACTGTGATGTGGGTGACATAGTGAGGGGGGGTGACAGAGTGTGAGAGGGGGGTGACAGAGTGAGAGGGAGGTGACGAATAAGAGGGGGTGACAGGGTGAGAGTTGAGTGACAGAGTAAGGGGGTGACAGGGTGGTGAAAGAGTAAGAGGGGGTGACAGTGTGAGGGTGGGTGACAGTGTGATGGGGTGACAGTCTGAGGGGGTGACAGAGTGAGGGGGGTGACGTAATGTGGGGGAGTTACAGGGTGAGAGGGGGTTACATTGTGTTAGGGGGGTGAGAGAGTAAGGGGTGGTGACTGGGTGAGGTGGGGTGACAGTAAGGGGGGAGGTGACAGGGGGTGTCAAAGAAAGAGGGGGTTATGGGGTGAGAGGGGGGTTGACAGGGTGAGAGGGGGTGACAGGGTTGAGAGGTGGGTGACAGGGTGAGAGGTGGGTGTTATAATGTTAGTGGGATGACAGAGTAAGAGGGGCGGTGACAGGGTGTTGACAGAGTAAGAGGGGGGTGACCCGGTGGTGACAGGGTGGTGACAGGGTGAGAGGGGGGTGACAGGGTGGTGACAGGGCAAGAGGGAGGGTGTCATAGTGCTAGCGAGGTAACAGGGGATGACAGAGTAAGAGGGGGGTGACAGGGTGAGAGGTGGGGTGACAGGGTGAGTGACAGAGTGAGGGGGGGGTGACAGAGTGAGAAGGGGGGGTTGAAATTTACCTTTTTTTGTTGCAGGATTCCCTGGTGGTCCAGTGGACTCCCTGTGTTCTTGGTGATCCGGTGGGTTTTCCGGTCTGCAGCTCCGCCGGATGCAGAGCTGCAGACCACATGGTGAATGTCTCGTGATCTCCATTCAGAGCGTTGCCGTGGTAACTCGCAGCAACGCTCTGACTGCCTGGAGATCGAGAGACACTTCAGTCTGCAGCTCACACCCGGCGGAGCTACAGATTGGAGGGTTTCTCTCTCACCGGGCTGACTGACAGGAGGGCCCTTGCACCCGGCGGCATAATGGGTAAGCCGCTGGGCCCCTTCCTGTGTCGGGTCCTCGGTCAAAGACCGAGAACCTGACATGTCAGTCAGCCCTAAGGTGATTTAGGAGGCCGAGAGGCCCCTGACAGCGCGAGGCCTTTGGCGGCCGCCTAAATCGCCTAATTAGAGAGCCGCCTTTGTCTCTAGTGGCAGTCACTCAGATGGCCACTAGAGGTGCTTCCTGTGCCAATGCTGCACAGTGCTCTGCATGGAGGTGCTGAATGTTACCTAACAAATAAACTACACAGTCTCCTTTCACTATACCACCAAGTGCTAACAAAGATACAAAAATAAAAGGACTGCGGTGTTGCTTTGATATTTACATTTATTTGTGTAACATAATGTGTACAATAACAAGACATCAGTCAGTAGCAACCCAGACCTGTTCTAAAACCATCACCAGAGAGTTGCAGGCTGGATACCTGTAGGTAAAAAGAAAAGACATAATTAGGAACATATACATCATACGTTCATTTGAGATTAAAAATAAAAATACTTTAAATTTAACCTATTCATTATTATATACTTTTTTTAAAACATATTAATTTAAAAAAAATAAACATTCTAAAAGTTTTCAACATTTAAAAGTAAAAATGCTAAAGTAATTCATTTTTTAAATTGATGTTTAAAGATATCTAAGGTGGCATGCAGATGGTAGTAAAATTAAAATATATATATAATACTAATATAATATATTAAAATGATAATATCAATATACAGAAAACAGAGGGTTAACTGTTAGTGCTATATTACACAGATTACCCAAGGTTTTTAAAGTGTTCCCTTACAGACACTCAAGATACAATAATAAAAAAGAAAAGAAAAAAACCAAAGGGAAAAGCTGTGTCGTTCACCACAAAGTGATAATAATAAAAAATAATACAAACTGGATAACGTAGGTGTATTCTGCCTTAGATATAGGAATAAATATAAAAATATATAGTGTAATACCATTAAGATGAATTCAGGCATATCTCCTTTAATATTAGGGAGTTAATGAAGTGTGAGGGACCTCCAGTGATGCAATTCTGGATAGAAAGTAACAAGTCTTCTTGCCCACTCAAAATAGAAGGAAAAAATTGATAGTGCAGATTGTATAAAAAAGTAACAATTTATTACATATATTGCACTCACAACGTTTCAAAGCAAAGAGAGCATGTCTCCACACCAGGTGGTATCTCTAATCCGAATAGATTCTCCTTTTATATCCACCAGGGAATGGGAATATTGCTCGCAGGTGATGGTGTGCGTTCCACCTTGGAACGCATTCTTTACTTCCGATTGACGTCATTTCCGGTATAGAGGACCGAGTGAAAACTCCATACCAAATAACGGCAGTGACAAGTAGATCTCATTATAACAAAGGAATATAAAGTGTATCAGCCTTGTAGCAATACAGTATGTTACCATATAGGTATTGAGCATTTCAGTGCTAGATATTTAAGCCTTTTTAAAAAGAAAATCAATATTAATTGAATATTTATTATCCTTTATATCGGATAATTAGACCAGAAGAGAACGAAACGCGTTGGAACTGTTTACTTGTTCATATGAACTTTTATTTTTATTTTATTTCATTGTTGCTGGTGCCGCTTGCAACTCTCTGCCGTGATTGCACTAGCTGAAACACATGGATACATGGTGTGGAGACATGCTGTCTTTGCTTTGAAACACTGTGAGTGCAATATATGTAATAAATTGTTACTTTTTTATACAATCTGCACTATCAATTATTTCCTTCTATTTTGAGTGGGCAAGAAGACTTGTTACTTTCTATCCAGAATTGCATCGCTGGAGGTCCCTCACACTTCATTAATTCCCTAATATTAAGGGAGATACGCCTGAATTCATCTTAATCTGTGAGTTCTCTACCACCCCCACCCTCTATATGTATTAATGGTAAACGGAGACAAAGGGATGGAAGTTTGGCAGTCCCAGCGGTGTTCGTGGGAAATAGTGGCAGAAAATAGTTCCATGCGGTCGACGACCAAACACCGCTGGGCGCTCGTCAGTTTAAGATGGCCGCCGCCACGTGTTCGTTCTTAACCGCAGCTTCTGGGAGGTTAATAAGCTGCACACTCCCATTGCGTGTGGTCTCTCTGTTCAGTAGTTTGTTCGGAACAATAAAATGGAATAACATAGTGCTAAATGCACAAACAGCATACAAAATAAAGGGTCTTGGTATTCACAGAGCAGGGGTTTTGTCACAGTTACCTTCCAGAGAAATTTGACTATTCATTTGTATAGTCGAACGACGTTTGGTGAATTGAAGCCCACGAACAAGAGAAACACTTTAACCATGGCCATTCACCATTCCGTTCAGTAATTTGAATGGTAATTCAATTATTTTAAATAGACCGGCCGCACAGCCTAATTCTCTGGAACTATTTTGGTCATGAAACCATGCGTGTGGTCGGTCAAAAGAGACTTCTATTAATTTCCTGAACCCCTGCTCTGATCTGGGTGATTTTTGGATATGTTGTTCACCCAGATCAGGGCTATCAGGGGATATGTTATGTTTTGGGGTGTTTTCCACACTTTGTGTAAAAATGTGTTTTTTCTGCCTGGGAATAATTAATTTAGTACATTGTCTACCTTAATTATATCACAGGCAGAGGGGAGGGATTGTGTGCTGTATGTGGGAGTGTCGGACATTGTTATATTGTTCTTATTGGTCTGTACAGTTTGTAATGCGGTGCTCCATCAGGTCCAGGGGGTGTGCCTCTGGCCTGAGGAATTGTATATAAAGCCAACCTGTACCATTAAACCTTCAGACTTCTTCACCCTCAATACCAAGTTTTGACTCTTATTGTAGGGAATCACTATAACACAATCACTAGCTCTTGTAAGAGCTGTTCCTGCTTCTCTCACTGATGACTCTGGGTTTGCTACAGCACCTCTCACTCTTGGGAAAAGGACGGGAAAAGGACGTTTCTGGCGGTGAAACCCTGTACTACTTGGGGTACTGCTACAATCTTGTATCTTGTTTTGTAAAAAAAAAAAAAATAATAATAAAAGAATTAGATATCTATTGATTTTGAGAGTACAGCCTCTCTGAGTTGAGTATCTTATTCTGACTGATTAGAATGGTCAGCTGATACTCTCAGCCAGTGTGCTTAGCCCTGAACTGCATGAGAGCTAATGAAGTTCCTGCTTTGGAACTACTGGCTCTTTGGTGTTGGTAGTGGTGGCAACTAGCGGTGTCGGACAGAATCCAGGTAAGAAGTCAAACCTTTCAAAGAACATTTGGATTCCCTACAAAGGGGTGGCACCAGAACAAGCTGAAGTGGTTATAGTGCTTGAAGTGTTCCTTTACTTAAATGTAGTGAACACGCAACAGCACTTGACCAGTGTGGTCATCAAGAGCCATAAGGAGTTACAGACTATTGATTTTGTGTGGGATAGCAGATCATAGATATTCTGCTGCACTGACCTTTGTAGCTTATTTGTTCCTGCTGCCACTGTGTAGGACAAACCATCTGCTTCAAGTGAACCGTTCCCCAACATCTCATGCCTCGCCTCAGATTCCTTTGTGCAGACATTGTTCCAGATCCATTTAGAAAATATTGGTCATAGTCACCTGAAACAGAAATACACTTTACTTTAGCAAGCAATATTTCAATACTTTGACACATATTTGTATATCTAGAAGAGAATAGCTATTAATATTACTGATATTACTATGAGGTCTATCCAATAAAGTCAGAATTGAAAAAAAACATCTGGTTTCATATGGTGCCATTCAGATTGCTGAATGGTGATTCACACAGTTTAATAATGTCTGGAATTTGCAATACAATAAGAGGTTCTGAACGACCCTGAATTTTGTCCAGAAATTGGTTAGAATTGAGACCCAGGTGCTTAAAATCGGGGCTCAGATTTTAAAAGTGCACTAGTTGCCAGCAAGCAAATAGTTTGAAAAGATCCTAAATTGTTTATAGGTTTCCGACGCGAAAAACCCTAATTTTAAACCAGACACAGATGGTTCTGGCCGAATGGTGCAGATTCAGTGGGTGGGAATGAATGGCAACCAGATTTCGCTTTAATATATTTGAGAAATGTTAATCCATTTAGAATTTGACAATTTTCACGAAATTTTGTTCATACAAATGTTTAGTGAATAGATTGATATGAATTATATTTTGTGCAAGTGGGACTGTTATTTTTACATCTTTATAGAGGAAAAATCTCCAAGGAACATTTTTCAAACATTCTTATGTTCCATGAATCACTTAATCTAATCTAACTTTAAAGGAACACTATAGCGTTAGGAATAAAAAAACAACAACTGTATTTCTAACGCTACAGTGTCCCTGTCCCTGTTATAGGTTCCCCTGTTTTCAATAAAAAAATAATAATTAAAGCTTGACTTAACTTTTTCCAGTACAGGGGCTCCTTTAGCGTTGCACAGCAAGCGCCACATGCACATTCAATCTACCCCATAGGAAAGAATTGACTCAATGCTTTACAATTTATGCTTTAGCTTCAAGTGACAGTCACTAGAGATGGACTTAAAGGGACACTCTGGATCCCTAAAGTACTTTAGCTTGCTGAAATGCTTTACATGTGTCCTTTTTTCATTTTACAAAAAGCAGAGGTTTCAATAGAAATCATGAATTCAGAAATTATCTTTACTGTTACACCCCTGGCTTTCAAGCAGACAACAGGCCCTGTTTCTTCCTGGTTGTTTAGCTCAGTTAAGCTAAACTCAAGAGGCAGAAATTGCCCTGAGCACCTGCCTTGCAAAGACTTCTCATTGAGCTGCATTGTGAAGTCTGTGATTTTACAGCCACAGAATGTCTGGACTGGAGAAAAAGGTGGACTTGCAAAGGCTGCAGACAAGAGATCTGTAACTTCTGCAAGGTGTTTTAGATACACCTCCACATTATTAAATGCACGCATGTTTTAAATGCATGCAGTGATTATTTATGTATTTGTTTTTATTTGAGCAGTGGAATGTTCATTTATCCCTGTAATATAAACATTTTTTTTTGTTTTTGTTTTTGTTTTTACGGGTAAAAAGACAGCGCACTGCACCCATACCACTTCATTAATACTGTGGTTCATGAAAGCAGCACTGTTCCCCTTCCCACACACACACACACACAACTAGTATTTCATAAACACAGAATCTTTATGAAATACTCATATTGACTGTGCTGGAAAAAACACTAAAATGCCAACCCAGTCAAAAGATATAGTGAGACAAAGTGCCTGACACTTTTAGACACTGGGCAGAGTTACCACTATCTAGAAGTGTCAATGCATGGCTGCAGGGAATTGGCTCTGTCTATGGAAGATATAGTGGTCTCACAGGACCCTCCATAGACCTCAATGCTGTACTCTCGCACATGAAGAGCCAGGAGCAAAAAAGGACTTTCTAGAAGAAGATGGAGGTGCCCATGAGGGACAGGTTTAGGTTAGTTAAACTTGCCTTTGCTTGCCTCCCTGGGCCACTGGAACCCCAGCATCAATATCACTATCCAGGGTCTTTGCAAACTTGCAAAGTCCCTATACTGTGAGGTGCCACTTTAAGTGTAACTCAGTTTTAAAATTCATACATTTCATCTAAGCAATTAAGGCAAAGTTTCAATTCCTCTTAAAGTGACTTTCTCACTTTAAAGGTACCTTTATCCTATTGTTTCCACTTCACATTCTCTTTTAGAATCTGTTCTTTTTTTTCTTCATGTGTCATGTATTTCTCTTTAATAAGCATAAGTCTTATGTAATTTTTCTACGCTTGCCAATCTTGCAAAGGTTGGAGCTTAAGGTAAGCTCCACTTCCTATGTCAAGATAACTTTTCCCACAATGCCCACCTCTCTTTCCAGTCCTTCCTCTGTATCCTTTAGAGATATGATCATAGGGATCCAGTGCCATAAATATAATAAGTCTGGATGTCTTGATAGGTAATAATTAATTTGCTGGGACTCTACTGCGGTTAGTGGTGGTACAAAAAAATGGTATATGGCTGTGACAGAGCCATTTTAAAGGACCACTATAGGCACCCAGACCACTTCAGCTTAATGAAGTGGTCTGGGTGCCAGGTCCACCTAGGATTAACCCTTTCTGCTGTAAACATAGCAGCTTCATAGAAACTGCTATGTTTATATTAGGGTTAATCCATTGTCTCATTGACAGCCGCTAGAGGCGCTTCTGCACTTCTCCCTGTGTTTTTCACAGTGAGAAGACGGTAGCGTCCATAGGAAAGCATTGAGAATGCTTTCCTATGAGACTGGCTGAATGCACGCGCGGCTCTTGCACCCTCAGGGGGGCACCCTCAGGGCACTATAGTGCCAGGAAAACGAGTATGTTTTCCTGGAACTATAGTGGTCCTTTAAGCTTGTTGCACTGTGAGCCAAAATCTTTTGGGCTCAAAGCCACGTGAGCTCTTTCATTTATAAAGTAATTTAAAGATTTTTCAAGTCAGTGGATCATCTCTGCAATATGGAAAGGATCTACAACAAAATGCAGGTAAGAATGTTTCGACTCACCAAATGATTCCTCTCTCTGTTGACGCCTCAAGAATTCCATCCCATCTCCATTATTAATTAGCAAAACGAGATCTGTGTCCAGTACAAATGCATTGTAATGGATATTGGAAGAGTTTGGCTCCACTGTGACTTTAGAGGTGTCTGTTTTTGTTGTGCTGATGACCATGTTTTGGGCCATGACAGGCTCAAATGTGTATTTTGAGTCAGGGGTTTCAGACATGTAGAAAAAGTATTTCGGTGGATTCTGGTTTGAATAATCAATATCTGAATCTTGATACACCTGTTAAAAACACAGAATGCAACTTCAGGATTACACATTTTGAATGTCATTTATTTTCTCTAGAACACAATCTTTTTTAGAATACTACATAAATATATATGTTTTGCTATATGTATAAACAAACAATAGATTTTGTCACATCTTGTTAAACCCTGATAATAACTGTGTTGCCCAATGAAGATGCTATACAGGTTTGTGAATAATTTTCAAAATATGTGCTAGGGTGTGACAGCTTGTCTAACATGAGTATAGAAAAACATTTAACAATAAATTGCACCATCTAGACTGGTTCTAATGAAACCTGGCTGGTTTTACTTATTGATCTTCAGGACAGCTTTATGCACATCCCACGCTTCCTTCAATTAGTTTATTACTGGAAGGAAATTCTATGTACCTACTAAGTGTTCTTAGCGTTCTAAGTACCTTTCAAAGTATGCTCCTTTATTGTATTATTTATTTTATTAAAATGTTCCTTATGTTACTTTATTTAAAGTCCCTTACTTTTGGTGTTGCAATGTGCCATTCACTTTCTAATCCTATTTGGATGTGTGCATTGAATGTATAACTCAATGTTAAAATTATGCTTTTATTTATGTGCTATCTCAGACACTCCAGACCACTAAAACACTATAGCTTGCTGCAAAGCCTAAGGTGTAAAGAGTGTGTCCTCTTTTTTATATTGCAAAAAGTGCAGATTTCAATAGACTTCTAAATAGACAACAGATCCTGTTACTTTCTGGTTTGTTCAGCTCAGTGGAACTACACCCAATAGGCACTTAAAAGATCACTCTAGTGTCAGGAAAACAAAATTGTTTTCCTGACACTATACAACCCTTAGGTCACTCCTCACTTGGTCCTGAAGGGGTTAGAACCCCTTCAGTTACTTACTTTAATCCAGCGCCGGGCTCCTTTGGCACTGGTGACCTCTCCTCCCACTCCGACGTCGGCTCCTGAGTGGAGTGGAATGCACATGCGCTGCAAGAGCCGCGCGCGCATTCAAACTGTTCATAGGAAAGAATTTCTCAATCTTCACTATAGTGTCCCTTTAAAAGCCCAGAGCACCTGCCTTGCAAAGAAGACTTTGATTGGACATCCACAGAAAGTCTAGGCGGGGAGAAGGGGAGGACTTTCAAAGGCTGCAGACATAAAAACTGCATCTTTAGTTTTTTTTTTTTTAGCTATAACCCCAATAAATAAAAATAAATGAATGATTAAAAGCATGCATGTTGTCATTTGTGGTATATTTACTAAATATAGATTTTTCTCTATTTTGTATTTGGCAGTGGAATTCTGGACAGTCTTCCATTGCTGCTATCTTTTCCTATTATGACTTTGATGAATTTGTGACTACACATTGTATGCGGTCTTCTCCAAGGGGGCATTCATCATTCAGTAGCCCAACCTCTCTTCATACCACAGTCCCCACCCAATGCTAATCCCAGCCACTTGAATGTTCCTCATGACAGAGCTTTACTCATGCCCCTTAATGTGGAATTGGTTGCATCCAGAGAAGATCCCACAGAGCCCTAAGGAGGTTTACCAGTTTGCCCCCTCTATAATTAATGTAAATAGGATGAATGTGGCAACTTGGTCAAGAACAGGTTGAATGTGACAACGTGGTCAAGAACATTTTTGGTGCCCAGTTCCCTGTCTATACTTGTCTAACTACTGAGCCCTAGGTCCATCCAGCTATGGTTGTACCCACTGATGACTGCTGCTACTTCATAAAAATTGATCAGAAGTTGCAGCTAGTTTGTCCATACTGCATACTCCACACTTCCATTAACAAAGCTGCACACATGTCAGTTTGCTAGTTATGCAAAATTACCAAAGCATTTCAAGAAGCAAAAAAAGGAAAGGCTTTTCAGTAAAATAGAGGCCACACTAGCTCCCATTACATCATCAAACCAGAGCCAACCCCATCCCAGACAACAAACTCCCCAGTCTGTTTATCTTCTACATAGCATCTATGTTGCATTTTTTGATTGCTACATTAAGATTTGCAAAAACACCCATGATGCTTTGCCACCCTCACAAATAGAGAGTTGTAGTTCTACCATATCTGGGGTTCTACTATTTAGTCACCCCTCTCAGGGCTGCCTTCATGGGGATTTAGGCAATACCCCAGTATATCTGTGGCATATGTGAGGTCTTGCGTAATTGTATACATTTGGGGATGTTGAAGTATCTTCCCTAACATTGTCCAGCAGAGCGGGCCCCTTATCAAAAGAGAATCCTTGATGGCCCCCACAAGAGTGGCAGCACTGGGGGATTTGATATCACATCCTCTAAGCATTCCTTTATGCACACACTTTTGATCCAGTGATTTTGTAGAGGATTTGAGAGAAAGAGAAGAGAAGGGCTGCGGGGAAAATACCTGCCCTGGGATTAACATGGATTGGGAGAAACGTATGTTTTTAATTGGGAGAGGGAGAAGGGACTGTTGCTGGCTATGAAGGGATAAGAGGAAGAGGGTTGAAGTTCTAGATGTTTCTGGCCATCTTTGTGTGTGTATGTGTCTGATTATGTTTGTGGGTCTGATAGTATGTCTGTATTTGTATGTGTCTGACAGTGCGTGTATCTGTGTGATAGTGTATAGTTCTTTGTGAAGGGTCGGATTTACCCTCTTGGCTGCCCCAAGGCCATTTCCTCGATGAGCCCAGGCCCACCATATAAATGAAGCTTGGTGTATTTGACTGTATGGATGAAGTGGACTAGTTTGAGGTATGACTGCATGGAAATTATAACTAGCTGGGTGACTAGATGGCAATAAGTGCAAGGTGGGTGGGGGTAGGTGACATCTTATGTTGAGTGAATGTGATAGGGTGAGTAAGTATGACTGGGACTATCTGACTGGGTGGATAATGGAATATGATCGTTTCAGACTATGTGGCTGAATGGCAATGTGTATGTAGGGGCATTTTTGTGTGAAGTGTTAGTGACTGCATGTGAATGATGGGTGTATTTGTGTAGAAGGTTAGTGTGTGAATTTATTGATGTGTTTTTATAGAGTGTCAGTGTGTGCATGCAGGAGCATATTTGTGTGAAGCTTTAGGGAACATATGTGAGTGTGTTTGTGTACTATGTATTCAATTCCCATCTGGCCCTCTTTATCTTTCTCCATACCCCTATATTCATTTATTTCAGTCTCACATGTGTTCCTCTCCCCCTTTCCCAATTATTCCCATCTCTCCACAACCCTCTCTTTCTCCAGTTGTTCCTTTCTGTTCATTCCCCCATTTGTTTACTGTCTTCTACTCTTTTTTTCTCCCTATCCCTCACTTGCACCCCTCTTCTCCCCTTTGCTTACTTGTACTATTCTGTGCCCTCTCCCAGTCGCTCACTTTTTCTCCTGTAACTGCAGGCAGCTCTTGGTATAGGTGGTTGCCCATTGGTTTATCATGCTGACGTCATCACCGTACTATCTCCTGCAATTTCTTTTGCTGTTTGTGGGGGTGAGATGACCTGTTGCTGCAGGTGTCGAATGAGAAGGGGAAAGAGCTATTTCTCATTCTCGCCCAAGTACTAAAGCTGTACCAACAACGAACCATGGTACCAGTAGGGCTGACCCGCTCCCATGTGCCGTCCCGAAGCTGTGTATACAGCAGACTTACTTGAAATTTGGGCATGTCTTTGTGTGTGTATCTGTCAGTGTGTATCAGTATATGGGTATCTTGCTGTGTATATCTAGGAGGCGGGCGTTGTTGATGGCTTTGTAATGGGCCTCATGGTTTCTGATGGCAGGTCTGACGCACCTACTTCTAATTTAAGCCCACTTTAAAAACATCTCCCTCATTATTTTTTACTTTCCATATCCTACATAACTTAGAAACTTTAATTAAAAAGTGGAAACAAAAAGTTATTAGAGATAATTGTGTAATGGATAAATTGACTGGTCATGTCAGGACCTTATTTCAGAAAACCTGGGTGTTACCAGTAGACTTCACTGGATTAGTGACTTCTTAGAGATACAGGATAATGTATCTTTACCCTCTCCCCTGCAGCAGACACTTTCTCTCTCTAACTGTCGCGGTTTTCTACTTTCCACTTATTATTTACGCCTACGCTCCTCTCCTCTTTCTGAAGATATGTAAACTTCCCTATATAAAATTGTTGAATGCTCCACATACCTGATCTTCATATTGTCTTCTGTACTTAAATAAAGATTTGAGAGAAAAAAGATATAAGATAAAGATATATGTTTTTTGAGTGACCAAAGAGGACCCGTTAACTCACCTGTAGTATAAGCTTGCCAGACTCGTACGTGAGATACTGTTTTTTGTCAACAATTTGTAAAGTAACAGGAGTCTTCTGGTTTTTTGGTTTACCAACTATAATGGTAAATTTTGCTGTTGGAATAAATCAAATGAAGGATCATACAAATGGATGTGGAGTGCTTCTGTCAATGTAGCTAAATGATTGGCTGTACAGAGAACTCAAAGTCTCAGATCTTTTCAATTTGCTTGTCTCTAGCTTTGTGCATGGACCCTATGGTAGAGATCTAAACACATCCGATTTAAGATTGCACAGAAACATAGGCAAGATGCCAAATAGTGCCCCCTACCAGAGTTCTCTTTCTGTTAGTGTTGTGTGCGTGCTATGGCTGTGTTGTATGTGTGTGGAAGACTAAGTGTTGTATGTGAGAGTGTGTGTAGAAGCTAAATGTTGTATGTGGAGGAGGCAGAGAGATATATATGGAGGGAGGAAGTCTGGATGTGCATGTGGGTGCTGGCTGAGTGTTGTGTGTGGTGGGTGAATTTTGTGTATGGAGGAGTCTGAGTGTTGTGTGCGGAGGAGTCTAAGTGACCTGGGAAGTTTGCCATCCTCCTGCCAAAAGATAAGCAGCAAAAGTGTAATCCCTGGTGGTCCAGTGGAGGGTGAACTAAGAAGTTAGATTCCAAGTGGTCCAGTGTGTGTTCAGAGGAACTGGATGGGGCATTGTGGTCTGCATCTTTATCAGGTGAAGATCACTTTAATAGCTCCTTTGTGATCCCGTACTCTGTTAATGACTCAGAGCACAAGCTGCAGCACACTGAGTCAAAGAGAAGCGCTAACGACTGTGAGGGATCTCTTAAAATTTTCTGTGACTGATAGAGTTGCAGACCCCAAAGCTTCCTCATTACAGTAGGGGGTTTCAAGGCTGAGCAGGGAGAAATTATGATCTCCTGCCAGCTAAGGGAGGGTCCCTTCACAGCTAGAGCTGTCGGAGCCCAGGCCCTAGACTGCGGCCTTTGTCACCTTATGGGTAATCTGGCTTGGGATCATAAACATAGTAAGATTTGTTAAACCTGGAACATTTCCAGCAACATAACTATTTATGCCTCTTGTATAAGTCAATGTGCAAGAAGGATCTGTCTCTCTCCAAAGTGTCTTATAAGTTTTCCAAATTCCTGCACCTTTAAGCCTTCGTGTATACCTGCCAATGTAATGTGTCTTTATTTAGAAGGTACTGGCCATATTTCATGTTCAAATTGCTCTCTTCTATCATAAAGTCCCTCTTTTGTGTTGTCTAAGAGTACATAAGCACATTGATGGTAAACCATATACATGTGTTTATCCATCAGTCTGTGTAAATAGGATTTGTGAGGCTTTTTAGTCACATAAAAAGTTATTGGCAGACTACCATAGTAGACTGACCATACCTCTAGTCACTACCTTGTAACGAAAGTGTCCTTCTCTCTGGTCATCTAACCCATTGACATGCAGGCCCCAAACTCTTCTAACAGGCTTATTTGAAACTTTCGTATGGATTAATTTGTCTTATCTGATAACCAGAACCGTTGCCATTTCCTGAACCAAATGTATCTCAAAATAACGCTGGTGGGCGTTTGGTTTTAGGAAATGCCAAGTCACCCTGAAATAATGAGAAAGCTAGGATCGGCAGAAAAATACCAGCCATTTCATAGGTTTTTTTTTAGGGATTTAAATTGAATGCAAGCATTTCAAACTGAGGATTTATTTTCTATTACATATATATTTATGTACCTTCTATGTAAAGTATTAAAATTAATTGAAATAAAGTAATTAAATAATTGTTTTATCTAGGAGGACTAGGAGGAGAAGAAGAACTAACCTCTGAAGATAATGGGCCATTGCTCATTTATAATAATTGATAGAACACAGGAAAGTGGTAAGAAATACAAATAAACCAACCTTTCTTAGCTTCATTTGATCCTTGAAGAACTTTAGCCATAAGGATGTCATTTGCCTGGATGAAATAATGATTAATATCGTCACGAATTGACGTTTCTTTTTTAATAATGTCACGATCAGGATTTAAAGATTCAAACCCTGGATTTAAAGATTCATGATGATTACTATAATTTATGTAGGAGATATCTGAAATGAGATTAAAGCAAACATTGTAAGTAAAATTAATAAATAGTTTTATGGGTTTATAACTTGTTCACATGCAGATTAGTTTGTGTTTTTGTGCACCATGTACAATATATATTCAAGAGGTCATGTTTGAAGTGAACCTGTCATAACAAAGATCAACTGCAGCTCAGCTACTACTTTTGATATACACTGAACAAAATTCTAAACGCAACACTTGTTTTTGCCCCCATTTTTCATGAGCTGAACTCAAAGCTCTAAGATTATTTCTATGTACACAAAAGGCCTATTTCTCTCACATATTGTTCACAAATCTGTCTAAATCTGTGTTAGCGAGCACTTCTCCTTTGCCGAGATAGTCCATCCACCTCACAGGTGTGGCATATCAAGATGCTGAATAGACAGCATGATTATTGCACAGGTGTGCCTTAGGCTGGCCACAATAAAAGGCCACTCTAAAATGTGCAGTTTTGCTGTATGGGTGGGTCTGAAAACCAGTCAGGATCTGGTGTGACCACCATTTGCCTTGTGTGGTGCAACACATCTCCATCGCATAGAGTTGATCAGGTTGTTAATTGTTGCCTGTGGAATAGTGTCCACTCCTCTTCAATGGCTGTGCGAAGTTGCTGGATATTGGCAGGACCTGGAACACGCTGTTGTATATGGCGATGCAGAGCATCCCAATACATGCTCAATAGGTGACATAGGTGGCATGATGCGTTCCACTTACGAAAACTGCACGTGACCGGAACCAGAAGTAAGATCTAGTGGAACGCATTATGCGTTCCACTCGCGACTACAGCCTAAGGACTGTGGATTGAAATCCGGAAAGCACACGTAACCGGAACTGGGAGGTGATCTAGAGTGGAGCACATCATGCGTTCCACTCGTGACTTCAGATAGAAACCCGGAAGTGACATCTAAATATCCCATGTGACCAGGACCAGGAAGCAAACGCCGACGGAGCAATGGAACGCACGATGCATTCCAGAGGAAAAACCCAGCGAATTTCAATAATTAAGAAACATTTAAAAATGGACATGGACTTTTCAGAATTACACAGCCAACTGAGGAAGCCACATGAGGCGAAACGCGTATTGGTCATACTAATTTTTTTCTTTGTTTTATATATTTTATGTTATCAGTTTCCAATAAATATAGTTTTTTACCTTTCTATCTACTGGATCCTCTGCAATTTATTATTGGGAACAAGCTTCCATTGGATACACCAACCACTCACAGAGGGATTTGGATCACCCTGCAATAGATCCTGAGGTCATCAATACCAGAGCCAGGTTCTATATTGGCTCTGATTTTGTGAGTACTTACTTACACATGTTATTCTTTATGTTTATATTGTAAAGTTATCTGCACTATTTTGTATACCTCTCTGTCTCCACAGCATCATTGAACAAATTGAGAAGAGAGGAAATAGTATATATGCTCCATCCTTTGTGTTTGTATTTTATGTATTTCTTTGTGTTGGTATAGGGGATACCACACGGGTGTTTTGAGCATTATTGGCACTACTAGCTATACCACTGATATTTGTTTTTCAATAGGTAACATGTCTGGTGAGTATGCTGGCCATGCAAGAACTGGGATGTTTTCAGCTTCCAGGAATTGTGTACAGATCCTTGCAACATGGGGCCGTGCATTATCATGCTGCAACATGAGGTGATGGTCGTGGATGAATGGCACAGCAATGGATCTCTTCACCTTATCTCTGTGCATTCAAAATGCCATCAATAAAATGCACCTGTATTCGTTATCCATAACATACGTCTGCCCATACCATAACCCCACTGCCACCACGGGCCACTCGATCCACAACGTTGACATGACGCCATACATGACCTGTACAGTGAAAACGGGGATTCATCCGTGAAGAGAACACCTCTCCAAAGTGCCAGACGCGTATTGAATATATAATTTATCACAGAAATAAATTCTATATTTAAATTTGCTATAGAGCAACTTTTTACTTTCTCTCCAGCACATTCACATAACACCTGAGCTACTAACTAACATGTTATTGCCCCTGCTGGGCATTTCCCCAAGTTGTAAAATACTTAAGAAAAGAAAAAGTTACCTGTGCTCTCTCCTTAATCCCTATGTATATTTAGACAAATGGAGGTCATTTAGTTACTCCAATGGCCATTGGAGGGAATGCCCGCCTGCCAACGTCAAGGCAGACCCCCGCTTAAGCAGGTCCTACAAGTTGTAAAATACTTGTCAGTAATTCTGACATGACTTAATTTCCCCTGTGTATGAGTGGCAGGAGATTCGTCATTCCATTTCTATTTTCCTTTAGCAAGCACAAAACACACTTTTTAGAGGAATAATCACATTAACTACAAGCATGTAGGGAGCACTGGAATTATTTTGGAATAATACATTAGGAGTAAATTATAATCTAGTAATATAGTAAATTATAATAATTAGTATATGTTAAAAGAACGGGGACACCAGAATGACAGATGGTACAATTGAGAAGCATAAAATATTGTAACATTATAACATAGAAAAAGAACCCCAAATATGTGGCTGGAGTACCGTTAATTAAAACATGTATTTCTAATGTTAGAGGTTTTTTCCTGCAGATTTAGGTGGCCTTCCATTAAAACTAATAGAATAAAACATATAGAAGATAAACTCACCTTGTATCCCTCATCACAACTACCTTTTTCATTATTTGGCTCTTCGCTCCTTGCTCAGATAATCAGTTATGATGTGCTCAATTAATCCAAATGCTTCTCATTGGAGAACAATTAGAGAAGAGGGGATGAAGCGGGGGTGGGGGTTACTGTGCATGCATGGCAATCGCCATACTGTAACAACCATCATCTTAAAAGGCAATGTTTACTATACTAACGAGCGTGTGAAGGGAAAGGCTCTTTGTACCAAAACCACTTTGTTAAGATGGAGCGGTTCTGGTGCTTAGAGTATCCCATTAATGAATAGGGGGGGACACTAGAGAGAATATACAAAATGAGATGTTATCAACAAGAGGAACAGAGAAACTCTTAACAATGCTCAATGGGTATATACAGGTGCAATAGTTATTTAAAAGACATAAATGACATGGAAAAGCAAAAGGGATAGAAGGAAAAAAAAATACAAGCTATCCATAGGAGCACAGAAGTTAAAAAGCAGAAAGAGTAAAGCTAAAGCATTAAAAGTGGGGTGGTAACTAATACCCAGCCGATGCTGGACAGCCCTGCAGAAACCCAAGACCCTTTCCCTTTGTTATAAAGCCTGGCTAGAATTAGCACCCCATAAGCCAACGACATGCAAACTTCACTGGGAGGCAGAGGCAGAGACTGAGCTAACTGAGGAAGACTGGTTATCAGCTCTAAACGGTCTCAAAAGATGGACCAAATGCTACTCCCATATAGAGGCGCACCGGAAGCTGCTTTATAGATGGTATATGACCCCCAATAGGCTGCATAGGATATACCCTGCGGTACCAGCCGAATGCTGGAGGTGTAATACGGAAATAGGCACGCTACCACACGTCTGGTGGCACTGTAGCAGCATACAGCCGCTGTGGAGGGATGTTAAGGAGATAATAGATGCCCTGGGAATCAGAGACTTCCCCCTAAACATTAAGGCCTGTCTACTCCTACTGTTCCCCAAAGAGACACACAAGAGCCAAAAACAACTGCTCCTGCTAATCTTAATGGCAGCACGCAACCTGATAGCGCTCAATTGGAAAAAACACAGTTGCCCATCCACACAACAACTGAAAGACAAAATACAACAGTTTTACATTTATGAGAAAATGTCCACAGACACCACTACAGCCACCGCAAAATTCAGGGAAACATGGGAGGGTTGGGAGGCATGGTACGAAAAGGGGAATTGTCTGGGATAAGCAAAACAGCATAGAAGAGGGGAGTAATCTCTAACCAGGCCAGAGCCAAGTGAGGAGTAATATGCCACTTTAATGTGGAAAGGAGTAAAAAGAACTGTCAAATACGTCATTTTTGATCTTACCTGCACACCTGTTTTGTATATGCCTTTGTTATGTTCGATAAACTACCCATCCCCGACTGTTATCAAGGGGCTACATTAGGAATTCATTGTACCACAGAATGTATGTTTCATGAGCTGTGACTATGTACTGAATTCATAATTGTGAAAAATTCAATAAAATACAATTGAAAAAAAAAAAAAAGTGGGGTGGTAGATATTGGGGTGGCACAAAGGCTTCATGAAGTTAGAGGGCAAAATTTAAAACTATATTGCTGCATATTAATACAGTAATCATAACTATACTTTGTGTTCAACATTCTGGAAAGAACATGTTTTATTTAGATCAGAAGGTATACCTGCACACTGCATGCACTGATCCATCATTAGTGTAGGACATATAATATGACAATTCAACTTACCATTTGCATCAAACTTCTTTATCATATTAAGATATCTGCGTTTCTTGGCAAGGATAGTCAAGATCTTCGGTATTTGTTGCCTTAGGGATTGATATGGGGTTGTTGGGTAATTAAACTCTATAGTTTGATACCAACATGGGAAAGACATTGGATAGGGACTGGACATCTGCACACAAAAATGAAAAAATATGTACATAAGAAAACAGTATTCAGCAAAATTAGACAAAAACTAGTTTCCAAGAAAGAGACACTTTAGTCACCAGAACAACTACAGCTTATTGCATCCATTCCGGTGAGTAGAATTATTCCCTTCAGGCTTTTTGCAGTAAACAGTATATTTTCAGAAAAAATGCAATGTTTACATTACAGCCTAGGGATACCTCCACTGACCATTCCTTAGATGGCTACTAGAGGTAATTCCTGAGGCAGTGCTGCACATTGTGTCTCCTCCCTCTGCATGGATACACTGAACTTTCCTCATAGAGATGCATTGATTCAATACCCCTGCCTCTCTATCCTTTGGGGCTCTTCAATTTTCCCACAACCCTAGACACTCTGAAAGCAAAGGTGGTGGTGTAGGGTTTCTGCTCTCACCTCACTGCTCCTTCAAACCTCTACCCACACCCCCTTCCCTCTCCTTCTCCTTATTTGAATTTCAGTCAACTCGCCTTTTCAAGCCCATCTTTGCTAACATTGCCGTTATCTATCGTCCCCCTGGTTCCCCTCTCCTCTTCCTTGACCACTTTGCTGCTTGGCTTTCCTACTTCCTCCCCTAAAATATTCCATCCCTGATTCTTGGGGACTTCCACATTCCCATTAACATACCCTTGTCCTCAGTAGCCTCAAAACTACTTCCAATGACCTCCTCCCTTAGACTATCACAGTGGGCTAAGTCCCACAGCCATGTAGCTGGCAATACCCTTGATTTTATTTTCTCTCATGTACAATCTGTAATCTCTGCAACACTCAATTTCCTTTCTTAGATCACCGCCTCTTATGATTCGCTCTCAATAGCCCCACACCATCATTTTCAACCTAACCCCCCTTAACTAAGAAGAAATCTGAATTATATTGAATTATATTGACCTGCAGCAATTTATCAGCTCATATTGATTCCCAAACTTCTACCCATCCCTACTTTCACCTGTCCCTCACTGGCTATCTCCTCATATAACATTACCCTAACCTCTGCCCTGGATGCTACAGCCCCACTTCAAACATGCACGGTGAGGAGAACACGCGCCCAATTGTGGCACACTAAATCAACACGCTACCTGCAGAGATGCTCCCGTTCTGCTGAACGCTGCTGGAGGAAGTCATGCACTCAGTCTGACTTCCTCCACTACAAATTCATGTTGCATTCATACAGCACAGCCCTTGCCCTTGCCAAACAGTCATACTTTTCCTCCCTCAATAGCTCATGTTCTCACAATCCCAGGCGTCTTTTTAATAGCTTTAATTCCCTTCTTTGCCCTGCTGTGGCCACCCACCAAACTAACCTTACAACCGATAGCTTTGCATGCTACTTTACCGACAAGATTGAACAGATAAGGAAAGAATTCTCACCACCTTGCCCCTCGCTTTCTCAACCATACCTCGATCATGCCTTTCCTGCCCTCCAGACTTTCTCCCAAGCTGCTGAACAAGAGGTGGCTGCACTTCTCCTTTCTTCTTGCCCCACCACTTGCCCGCTTGATCCTGTCCCATCTCACCTTTTCAGATCTCTCTCCTCTTGTCTTGTGCCTTCCTTAACACACATCTTCAACTGTTCTCTCTCTTCTGGTATTGTCCCTGCTGCCCTTAAACATGCTACTGTAGTACCCATCTGAAAAAAATCATCTCTTTACCCGTCCTCCCCTTCTAACTATCGTCCCATATCCATGCTCCCTTTTTCCTCAAAGCTTCTGGAAAGACTTTTTTTTACCCATCTGACTTGTTTCCTCAATTCCAACTCTCTCCTTGACCCTCTTCAGTCTGGTTTCCACCCCCTCCACTCTACTGAGACTCTTATTAAAGTCACTAACGACCTAATCACAGTTAAATCCAAAGGGCACTACTCCATACTAATTCTTCTTGACCTCTATGTTGCCTTTGACACTGTTGACCATGTTCTCCTTCTCCAAACTCTTCAATCACTCGGTCTCTGTGACACTGTCCTCTCTTGGTTTTCCTCCTATCTCACCCAATGCTCATTCAGTGTCTCCTTTTCTATTGATATCTCCTCCCTTTGTCCTGTCTCTGTTGGAGTCCACCAAGGCTCTGTCCTTGGTCCCCTTCTATTTTCTCTTTATACTATCTCTCTTGGCAAACTTATTACCTCATATGTATTCCCATACCATCTGTACGCTGATGACACTCAGATATTTGACCTCATTACCAGAAATACATGTTGTTGGTTGCTGAATAAGCAATATCGTGTTTAGCTGATGTGATCTTGTCATGTTACTTTTGCTGTAACTTCTGTCTATAAATATGTTTGCCTGAGCTTTAATACATTGGTAGTAGCCCAAATTGAAACATGTTGTCTGTGTATCACTGAAAGGCTCTCCCCGGAAGTTCGGTCCAAAAGTGAGGTGCTTTGAAACTCAATCTCTCTAAAACTGAACTCCTTGTCTTTCCTCCTCCTAATACTGATCCTCCTCTTTCACTCTCCCTTCAAGTGAGTGGTACCCACAACAGTCCTTCCTTGCAAGCACGCTGTCGTGGCGATATATTTGATTCTGGTCTCATATTTGAGCCTCACATCCAGTCTGTTACCAAATCCTGTAGATTCCACCATTATAACATAGCCCGCATCCGCCCCTTTCTTACACAAGATGCTTCTAAGGAGCTTGTACAGGCTCTAATAATCTCTCGCATGGATTATTGTAACTCTCTCCTAATAGGTCTTCCCACAAGTTGTATTGCCCCAGTACAGTCTGTAATAAATAGTGCAGCTAGACTGATTTTCCTCTCCTGTCGTCCTCTCACACCTCTCCCCTCTGTTTGTCCTTATATTGGCTGCCTGTATCCTATAGGAGTCAAATCAAGGTGCTAATCCACACCTATAAAGCAATGACCAATCTAGACCCTCCTATATTTCTTCACTGATCCACAGGTATGCCCCTTCTCGGTCTCTCCGCTCTGCCCATCACCTTCTCCTGTCCGCTGCTCGCACCCGTACGGCCAACTCACACTTGCAGGACTTCACGAGGGTGGCTCCTTTCCTTTGGAATAGCCTGCTACGACCATCAAGCTCTCCCCTAGTCTTCAATAATTTAAAAAGTGCCTCAAAACCCATCTCTTTAGGAAAGCATATGGCCTCCCAGAGTAACATCTACCTCACATATGTGTCCCTTGCTCTCTCCTAAAGGACAGCACTCTATTCTCTCCTCCAGCTCTGCTTCACTCCACCTTGTTTGATTGCTACCTGTTGTGTTTTTCGCCCCACTTCCTATAGACTGTAAGCTTGTTTGAGCAGGGTCCTCTTCAACCTATCATTCCTGTAAGTTTTCGTAATTGTCTAATTTCTTGTTAATTCTCCCCCTCTATTAATATTGTAAAGCGCTACGGATTATGCTGGCGCTACATAAATGCCAGTAATAATAATAATAATAGTTTAGAACGTTAATTCCTTTTATTGTGTCTTTGAGCCTCTCTTCATGACATCACTGAATATTTATTAATGATATACCACTGGCTCTCCTCTAAACAGTGCATGTACACCAGCTGTTGCCAGTTTTCCAAATAGTTAAAAGGACCAACTGCAATCACATTTTCAGGTTTAACAGTCTTCCTAGACTGTATTGAATAACGTATATTTTAAATTAAATGGCAATGGCCACTACAAATTTGCACATATTACTATATGCTACAAATAAAAACTACAGAATTTATGAATGCTGATTTTACAGGGTATCACAGTAAGAGTTACAATAGCGAGTATTGTAAATGTTGGGTAACCAAATGTTATTATTGTATTATTTCTACTGGTTAGAAAAGATGGGAGACAATATTGAATGAAGTTACAACAACTGTTGCAGCAAAGGGATAAAAACTAAATGATGAAATAGACTGTTTAATTAAAAGGGATTAAGACTAAATAATAAAATGGAGGTTGGACTTATGAATTATGTTAAGCCAACAGGCCAGGGTAAATTGATAGGATAGTTTTGTAAATCACAATGAAGACTATGAGAATGAATGGAAAAAGAATGGATTTAGTAGAGTGTGATATATCCATATCTATACAATTGAGATTTTTTTTTAAAGTTATGAACTGTATTTACTTGTATGACAAAAACAAAAGCCTTTTATAAGAATGTTAATTTTGTCAAACTATACTTGTCAGATTGTTTTCAGGGGCTCAAAATCCATTACCATGTTATACTATTTGGCAACCGCAAAAAATATCAATATTTTACGTCCCTATCCTAAAAATATCATTAACAATTTACAAAAATACATGTTTGTGTTCCCTTAATATTGTGGAATACTTGATTTAATTTTTATAGATTATACATGTTGTGATAGTTTAATATTTAATATTAAATAATTTGGAAACCTTTTCCAACAATCTTAAAACAAGGTCATAGTTCCTCTAAATAGGTGGATGTTATACAAACAGGAATCGACATAGGGCAAAAAATAAATAAATTTCTATGTGGCGAAACCAACCGAAGCACTGGAGAAGCCTGGTTGCTCGCCTGTTGCCTTTGGACTATGGGCCCGTGTTAAACAGCCTTCTTTTCCCCTGCAGAAAAGGCTTGTTTGTGCCTTTCTGCCCGGCGTTCGGTAGATTCAATCTACCAAACAAACAACCGAATGCCTGGACCACCTGTATTGGGCGTGTGTCTGCAATTGACCTCCCAGAAACTGCGGTTAACCGCAGCTTAATTGAAGAATGCTGGGTGGCCTTTGTTAGTTTGCCGAACACGTGGCGGCAGCCATTTTAAAGTCCAGAACGGTCAGCAGTGTTCGACGAAAAACCCATGGAACTGAAAACGGACACTATTTGGCACGAACACCGCTGAAGCCGCCGACCTCCCTTCTCGTTCGGTAGAAAGCTCACGAACGTCCCTGTATTTGGTACTTTTGTCACGAAAAGCCATACCCCAGATAGCCATCCCGTGGAGTCTATTCGTATGGAGAACAGACTATGTGAACACTTTGACTCCACGGCGATTGGACTGTGTGCATAGGATCTAAGCGCTATTCGGTACTTTTGTGCGCTCAGATCCCAGCTATCTGGGTACACGTTGAATGCCTGTATTATATCATAGTATTGCAAAGTTATATGTTTTTATGCATTTTTCCAATTGTCACCAAGATGGCATTTAGGCTCTGTCCAGGGAGATAATTGAATTACTTCCCAATTATCTCCTGGGCAGAGCAAAGGGTCCTGGGTAATTAAAGGGGAATGGCTATGTGTGTAACTCTGTGATTGGCTATTGTATTGTCCTTGTCACAGTATCCCATTTGGTCCCTAGGGGAGTGTCCACCAGATGGGAGACCTGCATAAATACTGGGGAGGTAGTCCACATTAAACCAGATCACCTACTGACCGTCAACACGGAGCATTGTCTCGTCTTTGGGGGAAATAATTTGTATGGTTTGACTATTTGCTGGTTCAGGATTGTAAACCTATTCGTATGGTTTTTCCCGTTCGTAGGTATGGAGTGTTCGTATGTTTGAGAGGCTTCATATGGTTCGGGTTCAGGAGTTTGGAGAATTCGTGTGTTTCTCAGTAAGGGAGATAGGTGTTCTACAGTAGCTGCCTGTGTCTCTGGAAGGGAAGATCTACGAAATGGCTTTTAACTCCTTTTATGCCTGGGGGTGCCATTACAATATATATATATATATATATATATATATATGTATATAAAATCCAATGCTTGCACTCCTGTTAAGAGATAATCGGCCTGGTGCTGGTCAGCAATAAATATAAAATAAGTAGTGTAAAGATAGCACTCCAAGGACTTTAGAAATATGGTGAAAAAACTTATCTTTATTCAGGCAACAGCCTAGGTGGATCAACGTTTCAGTTTACTAATGGAACTTTCGGCAGGATATATATACATAAAATTGATGTGTGTGTGTGTGTGCGTGTGTGTGTGTGAATGATGTGTCATCTCTGTTTCATTATCTTCCTTACCAGTAAACTTCCATGATGCTAGGAAACCCTGGAATCTGACAGCCATAGAATACAGGGTGATGTCTGAAATCCCACTACAGCAGACTAAGCATGTTTGAAGAGTATATTCCCAGAAAATGGGGTTTCACCATGCCCTGAAATCTTGACATGATTAGTTGGATCTCCAGCAATCTCCAGAAAGTGCGGAGAAGTACATAGTTACATAGTTACATAGCTGAAAAGAGACTTGCGTCCATCAAGTTCAGCCTTCCTCACATTTGTTTTTTGCTGTTGATCCAAAAGAAGGCAAAAAAAAACAGTTTGAAGCACAATTTTGCAACAAGCTGGGAAAACAATTCCATTTTGACCCCAGAATGGCAGTCAGATTTATCCTTGGATCAAGCAGTTATTACCCTACATTGAAAGATTATATCCTTGAATATTCTGTTTTTGCAAGTAGGCATCTAGTAGCTGTATGAACATTTGTATGGACTCTGATAAAACCACTTCTTCAGGCAGAGAATTGCACATCCTGATTGTTCTTACAGTAAAAAAACCTTTCCTTTGCCTTAGACGAAATCTTCTTTCTTCCAGTCTAAACGCATGGCCTTGTGTCCTATGTAAAGTCCGGTTTGTGAATAGATTTCCACACAATGGTTTGTATTGGCCCGAATATATTTGTACAGTATCAGACATTTATAATGACTTCTTACAACTAATTTTTTTTTTATTGCAGCAAACATTTGAGAGGAAAACACTGCACTCCACCTGTCCCTTTTGGACCACCCTCTGCATTCCTTACCTCTGTCTCCAGTAAGTGGCGTGCTTCCTGGAGGGATTTTTTATCATCACTGCAAATAAAAGCAAAGCAATAAAATTATTTTCATTGTACTATATTGGATATTCCTTTAAATACCATATCACCATATTTATATGGAATGCACTCTGCAGAGCATGACACAACCTTTGATGTTAGTTTACATACTTTAAATAGCATTTTGACATCATTTGCAAACACTCTGTTATTGATAGTAATGAGTCCATGACATAAATTAAGAAGTGGAAGAGTATCTACTATTTTATTAATGACTAAACAATTCTAAATACTGGTTATTGGCTGTCCCTGAAGGCATACTATTGGTTAGTAAATTGGTGAGATTTTACTGTACTGACTTACAATATCTGTCAGTTTTATCTAAGAATGGTTTGGCAACTTACCTGCGGTCTGCAGGTATCCACCACCGCTTTCTCTTCATATAGAAGTTCCTGCACTGAGCTAAGCCATGGCCTTGCGTGACACCATTGGCTGTCTTGTGCCAGCATGGTTTTGTTCTGGTATCAAATGTTAATTTTGCACAGAATTGACATTAGTCAGCCATAAACTTTGTTCTGGGCTAGCTAATGACACTCCGGGAGGTGAAGATATATCTCCGCCAGCTAAGAGGTTAATCTATGTATGCAAAGCAAAATGCTGCAAAAACAGATTACAGGCAACATGACCACAGCAAATCAATGAAGTGGTCAAGGTGCTTGGAGTAACCCTTTAACACTTACATAATCACTGTATTATAATATCAACCCAGAGGGTATGACTTGATTCTAAAAGATTATATAAACATTGATGATCCTTTACAGTTCCAATGCTGTAGATGCTTTTTTATGATTACATAATAGCTTTTTTGCTAATTGACTGATTTATTACTAATAAGTGTTAAGAGCTCGGGAGAAGTGTGCTACATAAGAAATGTTAATAAGTGAAAAGAAATTAAACTTCAATACAGCATTTGTGCTAATGTAAAAGGGACTTTATCCTAGGCTGGTAGCCATGTTCTATTCAGTTTTATAATATAAAAGCTAACTGGTCTAATGTGAAGCAAGGGTTCTCCTTTATCTCTGAACTCATTATCACATTATAGAGATGAGCTGGTGTAATATTGCAAGTTATTGATGGTAGGAAATAAGGAACCAGTAAAACATACCAATATCTTCTGTTGGGTTCCATCACTGTCTGGGTACCACTGTAATACTCCTTTTAGTAATAACTGCAGAGGGATGATAATAAAACATAAGACAATAAGAAAAAATTAATTATTAGTGTATACTCAGTAGTGTTTGAAGTCTCTCTGAGCAAAAAAGTCATATGACAAAATTAGGCAACTATTAGTCAAAAAAAGCAATAAGATAAGTAGAAATATAATGTAAAACAAAATGACTTAATATAAATAAATTAATTTCACAAACAATACCACCTGCAGAGTTCACATTTGCCTTGTTTTTACCATCACCTATCACAAGTTACGGCTAAGAGAGAAAAATATGCCATTTCATTATCAGAAGTTTATTCTGTTATGTGTGAGAGAATGTACAAAAGAGCTTCAACTTTATGGGAGAAAAAAAGATAAACTATATGAAAAATATTTTTATTTTGTTTTAAACTTTTTTACCCAGACTGAAAATGAGATTAATTTAGATAACCAAGCATTTTCTATATTTTCATTTTGTGTGTGTGTTCATTTTCTGCATTCTCATTTTTTGTGCAGGCATGGATGGTGATGTTATCTATGGACTTATTCTCCTTAATGAAAGGGGAATAATGTGCATGTGCAATATGGAGGGGATTAATCTTATGCAGAAAAGTGTGAAATCTGTGTGAAAAAGATTAGTGAGAGCTACAGCCTTGAACTGCAACTGTCAATAGTTCAATTCAGTTCTTTTCCATATGAATTCAACCTGAGAGTGTAATTTCCTCTAATCCTGGGCAAAACCGGGACACATATATACAACTGGTGTCCTAACATCCTATCATTAAACGCTTCTTCTTTACCCCTACACTACTCTAACACTTTCTCTAACCAATAGGATGTATGACAGCAAAGGGTGCATTATGGGAAACTAATGTTATCTTAGAATTCAGGAAACATTTATAAACCCCTTAACATTCATTCACTACTATTATGCCTCTGGAACCCCTCACCAGCATTATTTTCCCACAATTAGTTATCCTATCGTTCTATTTCTCCTTATCAGAAGACTCTCTCAATGCGCTATCTAGCATTTACAGAACTTCAATACAAAGTATTTGCTGGATAGCCTGTGAGCATACAATCTCTCTTTCTCTGTATGTAATACACACACACACACACACACACACATATCCTCTGTAATAAGTCCATCAATGACACAACATACATAACTTTTTTTGTTCACTTGCTGTGTCTACCATACCTGTACAGCTCCAGCTCACAGCCCAGGTGTTTGTATTAGTGTCTAATGATAATCTTGTTAAATTTATACCGTGAGTCTAAACTGGGTGGAACACCACTCTTATTGTTACTCAATAGAAAACCTAATTACTCATATCAGGTAAAACCTGAAAATGAAGGAAAATTGTCTTTTCCTGATCATTATTCATGGCATCATTTACTTATGGGTTAGCTCCTCCCCTGTCAGGTGAAGGAGCTGATTGTCTCTCTTTAACTAAATCTTGGGGTATCACAGAACTCTGCATGTATTAATGAATTTATTTTAGTTTTTTACTTTTCAGTGCCACAGTGCAGAGAAGCGTTGTGGCACTGAAATGGTTAATTTGAGTGCATTAGGTTGCCAAGTTAAACCTTTAAACTGGTCTCACCAGGTATAGCATTCCCCCCCAAAGAAAAACCTCTAAAGTAATATTGTTGATTCATCTCATAATAATTATAAACATATTTTACATCTTTAGTTCTGCAGTTAAATAAAATAAATAATGACACAGTAAAGTTCCTTTTTAATTTTGAGAACTACCAAATTCCCCTGGGTTCTTGGATTTTTTACGTATTTGATGACTGAATATTTCATCATCTTTCTCTGACAGAATATATGTCAGAATCTGACCACAAATCGTTTTATTAGTAGTATTTCTTCCTTAAATAATGGTTTAAAATCACGTACTCATTGGAACTCTAGGAATCACAGTGAACAATAACGTATTTCCCAATGAAAAGTACAGAATCTTAGCATATAAGAAATTGAGATGTAAACTGTGATGTAAGCTATGGTTGGTGATACAGTCAGGTAGGAGAATCTGAGATGGGTGGCACAGTTAGGTAAAGATGATCATGTGAGGACCTGGTAGAAAGTAGATCACCCTAAAGTATAGTGTATGAACGCATGTGAATAAATGTATATAGAAGTGTGTGTGTGTGTGTGTGTGTGCAGGGCCGGCCTTAGGGGTGTGCGAGCTGTGCGGCCGCACAGGGCGCCATGGAACAGGGGGCTCCCTGCGGTCGACACAGCTCACACATGGCCAGCCGGAATTAAAAAAAATAATTAATTTGTGGTGGGGCGGAGCTTCCCTGCAACGGGGTTGGAGCTAAAAGCGCCAGATAACTGCTGCAGGGGAAGCAGGAAGGAGTCCCTGCTTCCCCACCAAACAGTCTCCAGGAGCTGCACTGCCTGTCTGCCTCCACAATGAACTCCACAGGTAACTGTGTGATTGTCAGTGTGAGTGTGACTGTCTGCTTGTGTGTGTATGACTGTCTGTGTGTGTGTGTGTGTGTCTGTGTGTATGACTGTCTGCCTGTGTGTTTGTTTGGCTGTCTGTCTGTGTGTGTGACCGCCTGCCTCTGTGTGTGACTGCCTGCCTCTGTGTGTGTGGATGTCTTCCTGTGTTTGTGTGGCTGTCTGACTGTGTGTGTGTGTGTGTGTGGCTGTCTGCCTGTGTGTATGTGTGTGGCTGTCTTCATGTGTGTGTGTGGCTGTCTGCCTGTGTGTATGTGTGTGGCTGTCTGCCATTGTGTGTGTGGCTGTCTGCATGTAAGTATGTGTGTGTAAGACTGTATGTGTGTGTGTGTGTGTAAAACTGTATGTGTGGCTGTCTCTGTGTGTGGGTGTGTGTGTGTGGCTGTCTGCCTGTAATTGTGTGTGTGTGTGTGTGTGTGTGTGTGTTTATCTACCTGTAACTGTGTATGTTTGTTACTGCCTGTACTTGTGTGTTTCTGCCTGATCCTGTGTATATGACTATCTGCCTGCGACTGTGTGCATGTGGTGGATTTTACAGTGTATATGTATAACTATGTGCATCTGAATGTGTGCACATAACTCTGCATTCACACACAGGCTAAAATGAATGTTTTTATATGAATTAAATAACCATCACACACAGCCAATAAACCAAGCACAAATATCACATACAACCAATACACGCATATCACACACTGTTAATACACCCATTACAAATATCACACACAGCCAACACATAGCATACATATCACACACAGTCATCACACCTACTATCACATACACAGACAACACAAACATTACATCATACATGGATGACGGGGGGGGCTGTGAAAATGTTTCGCACAGGGCGCCTAAAGGCCTAAGGCCGGCCCTGTGTGTGTGTGTGTGTGTGTAACTGTTCGTAAGTAAAATGTGAGTACATATTAGAATACATGTATGCAAAATGTGAATATGTGAGTATGTATTAAAATGTCTGTGTGTAGTGTGTTACATGTGTAAAGCACGTGTGTAGATACTGTGTGAATCTACAATCTACTTCTTCATCCAGACATATAGACAGGGTTAATCAATGAATAAAACCCACTCTTCTCTAATCGCTATAACTAGAACTATCAAATATAAACTATCAATAAATGTCTAGGGTCAGTTTTCAGCCTTAACCCATCTCTTAACTCTAGTCCTAAATGTAAAAAAAAATAGAATAGAATATAACATGATAAGTACTCCATACAATAGATATCTTGAAAAACAATTGTCCATATGATAAACCCCATGTAGCAATGCACAGATAGGTGTGTTTTATAGTTTGAGATGCAAATCAATGTAAACCATTACACAGCAAAAAGAACTAATACAAAAGCTGTGTCCGTATATTTTTTCAGGATCCACCAAAGCAACTTTAATACGAGTAACAGTAACAGTTCATTAAATTAGATGCAGAGTTCTCACTCATTCGTAGCCTCAGTTAATCATGCAGTCTGTCACTTTCCAAATATTAGCCCTGTGTACAGTCAGTATACAGAGCCACTGCTTCTTTAAAAATTCCAGTCAATTCTTATTAATAGTTGTAAAAAAAAACATTTAAATAGATGATGGCAGGTTTCTTGGACATTTAATTGTAATAGAATAAATGAGGTGAATATGCACATTTATCCCTCCTCATCTACAAATTACTACAAATTGCTAATCTATCATAAAGCTGCTCCCAAAATGAGATTTAAATAAACACAACAGCAAATGACTCACCAAAGAGAATAAAAATCTGAAAAAAACATTTGTTATATTTTTGTGTATTTTTTTAACAAAAGATCAAAAGGTTAAACAATAAAGTCAACTTTCACAGTTTTTTTGGCTCATAATTACCAAGGTGCCAATATTAATGGAGGGCACTGTATATGCCACAACCAAAAAAGAAAACAAGTAAATACTGATTGGCGTTCTATGCCGTCCCCATTATAATGGACTTTAAAGCCATTGCGGGGGCATAGAACACCGTAACGACTTTCTACCCCAGGAGCCTCCAGATACTCACCTTCCCGGCGATCTGCTTCGGGAGGACTGCCCCAGAGGCCATGTGATCACTCTCAAAGTGCGATCACATGGCCCCCCTATAGCTGGCTGTGGATCTGCCTGCATGGGGACTGACTGGGCTGTCAGCCTCTTAGTCACAAACACTGGCCAAATATTTGTTTTTTGTTTTTTTCACACAAAAACAAATATGAATGCTAATTTTAGCCAGTGTTTGTGACTAAGTGGCTACTAAAAATGACTGGACATACCCCACTTGCAATACCTTGGGTTGTGTACTTTTGCAAATGGTATGCCATCATGGGGGTAACTCTCAATCCTGGGCTGCCAAACGGTCTCAAATGTAACATTACTAATCTGGAAAATTTTAATGTGAAAAAAACAAAAAAATGGAATGTGCTATATTTTACCCTGTAACTTTCCAAAACACTGTGTAATCTTTTAATGGGGGTACTGTTGTACTCGTGAGACTTTGCTTAATACAAATCTGTGCATTTTATTGCAGTAAAAGTGAACAGTATTATGACATTTACAGCTAAAATGTCAGGCTGAACTAAAAAAAAAATTTAAAATCTTAATTTCTCAGATTTTTTATTTTATTTTATTCATTATAAGTTATGTTTCATATATGAATAGTTCATAAGAAATTAAAGCCCTGTTTCTCCTGAACAAAATGATATATAATAAGTGTGGGTGCACTTGAAGGGACTTTCCAGTGCCAGGAAAACAAACCGTTTTCCTGGCACTGCAGGTCCCCTCTTCCTCCCACCTCCCATCCCAGTTTGCTGAGGGGGTTAAAACCCCTTCAGTGACTTACCTGTATCCCTCGGCGCTGGGTCAGGCTCCGCCTATGCTCCTCCCCCACCGACGCGACCGGCGGCAGGGGAGACCTAATGCGCATGCACGGCAATTCCAGTTTTTGTTTACGTTTTGTTTTGATCAGAATGTGTACTATTGACTCCGTCCTAAAGGGGTTAATGGCAGTAAGCCAAACTGATGTGAAGAATCAAGGTGTGCACGGATTATTATTAATGTGTGTATATCTAGGAAATTCTGTTGTAATACAAATCCACTCCCAAAATAGACTGAAACCAATTAATGTGACTCACTTATTCTTGGCTGTTCTGTCAAAATGTTCAAATATATTTGTAATATGTTTACACTACAGTAATATTACACTACCCATCATCGTGATGTGTTAACCCCTTCACTATCATTTACCTGAACCATGATATGCATAGCTTGCATATAAACCTAGGTACAAGTGTTATTTTGCATGTAGACTACTGTTCATAAATGTCTTTAAAAAGGCATTGTAAATGAATAGTAAAATAGCATGTAAATTATGTATATTTAAACAATTAAACCAGTGTCATGACATTGACCTTAAATTTGTGGATAAATGAGTAGGGAAAATTAACCTACTTACCAGAAGCTGGCCGGCTCCATAGTAAACAAAGTTTGGTAAAAGAGGTGGAAAAAAGGGGACCATTAGCAAAAAAGGAAATTACTTGGCTGTATTATAGCTTGTTAAATAATCCAATATTGTTATGCCTTTCCTAAAATATATAAGGCCCCCGAGAACCAGCCATTGATTCCATCTCAAATGCAACAAAGAAGTGTCTTTAATAGAAATGTGTTGTCTGTTTGCTTTCCTACAAATGGGATTAACATTCACCATTCTAATTGAAATATAGTTGCCTCACATGTGATGCTTCCTCCATTTATATTAGCATCCTTTAAACTCAACATGTATATTTTCTGGATATTAATATTTTATATGTCCCCCCTTCCAAAAGAGGTTTGCACTTATGACAATTATTTCCACTTATTGAACCAGTCCTTTCTACATTCTCATGACTCACCTTTCAGGGGTCGGTGTGTATCTTCATATGCAACAGGAGCCACTAAAAAAAACACTTCAAGCACCATAACCACTACAGCATGTTTTGCAATTTAACCCCTTAAGGACCAAACTTCTGGAATAAAAGGGAATCATGACATGTCACACATATCATGTATCCTTAAGGGGTTAAAGACCACGACAAATAATAATAGTAATAAACATATAAGCAATAGAAAGGAAACTACCAGGGAGAGGGGAGGGGGGATCCGGCGCCTACTTGAGGTGCTTGACTGAATTTTAATGGCAGTCCGTGAGAATCACTTTATAGACTGCAGTATTTATAGGTTGAATGTTTATGCAAAATTCACCAATAATGTGTTACTATCATGGTCTCATGCTACACACAGCCTGATCGGTAGTTTTAAGGAAGTGAACCCTCTGTTTATTCCAAACACATACAGACAAGATACTAGGTGTCTCTTGCCTGGTTTTTATTGGGCTAGGAAAGTTTCAGAGCCCTTTTATAAGATATTGCACTCCTGCACACCACTCAGGGTTTGGAGAATGAGATAGATGTGCACCCCATCCTTACATGATTTATAATGTGTTCCAAAGAATGCCATGCATTTTTAAATTTCCCCAGCTGAGCTCCCAGGGGGTTTCAACCATTTGTTTTTTATTGTATTGATAGGGGGTGGGGCCTGATTGTCAAGCTGGACAGTCCCATCCTGTGTGAGCTACGGCACTTAAGCTATTATTAATCAACGTTACTACAGATTGCACTTTGATCGATTATCTTAGCTGCCTATAAGGTATTCCTGGACTAATTGGGGTGATACCTACGCGTGTTCTGATGTCTTCGGGTGTCCACGCTGAAGAAGAGTGGAGAAGCTGCTGAACTCTGCCCCGTACCTGAGCTGCAAGTGGGTTTCCCTCCCCTCTGGACCAGTGGGTGTGATCCTGGTCAACTCCCCGGAGGCTGCTTTTCTCTGCTGAGAATGCGTGGCACAGCCGCTGAACAAGCGACCGACAAGATGACACACAAGATGGCGGACGCCTCGTGGTCCCCCGATGCCGCCGATGGCGGACGCCTCGTGGTCCCCCGATGTACTTACGACATCCTGCAACACCTCAACGGTCTTTTCAAGTCCTTCTGGGCACAGCTGAAGCTGAAGGTGCACATAGGACCCGATGTGCCGAGTAATCTGACTCACGTTAAGAATCCCCAGAGGGACGCAGCACAGATGGAGAGTGACTCCTTTCATGTTTGGGCCCGAGTGATGCGTCGACAGAGACCCATGGCACATACAGTGAGATTGCACCACAATTCAAGATGGGATTTGGGACTGTGGCTGACCATACAGGGTTTGCCCAACTGCCCCACAGCTATCACACACCACTACTCGAGCGGGCAAGTGGGCCTACTATCGGTGCACCCGTGGTGGGACTGTGAATCTGCTGATATCAGAGCTGGGCCCGGGAATACCTACCTATTTCTGGCATGGAGTCTCAGCAGTACTTCACTTATCAAGCAGTCATTCTGTTTCTATATACTCCTGTCCATTTGTAGCCTGTTGGTGGGGGGGGAGGGGAGTGGGGGGGGGAGGATTGAGGGGTCTACTGGGAGTTTTCACTAAGCTACTTCAATCCTTCACAGTTATTCACTGTTTTCTATTTCCAGCCTACTCTGCTGCTTTCATATTTCCCTACTCTGCATACCCTGCACGGTTACTCTAGTCTTTCTCTTTAAAAGAAAATGTGCTAGTTCCTATGTACACTTAATCTGATACGAGATGTTTCCTCATTGACAGCTTATCACTGTCACGTCTCTTATCTTTGATATTATTACATACATCAAAAATAAAGTATTAGAAAAAGATTTTATATTGATTCTTCTTAGCACAAGTGAATGTATTTTCTTGCATTTTGCGAGCACTTTACATCAATATTAAGATTTTTAGTATTTAACTATTACAGATATTAGCGCCAAGTTATAGTGCCAATTGGTTTTGACAAGTGAATTGTTGCACTTGCAGCAAGTTTCTTGAAAACGTATTTCTTCTTCTTCTTGTAATTGTGTATGCTGTTTAATGTTAGCTGTAAATCATAATGTTAATATTTTCAAATATTTTGTTTATTTTATATAGATTCAAAATGTTGTTAAAAACAGAACAGAACAGAGTAAAATAGTATACACTTTGTTCCAAGTACATAAAATTATAATTACAAATATAGTTGCAAGTATAGTAGTATAGTTTAAGTCCAAAAGACAGGTATAGTGGTACATTTTTGTCCAAAAAATACAGCTGACATTCTAATTTTCCTGTGGAATATTTACTCCGTTTGTGGTTAATTCTATGTAATGCAATAAAATTAGGGTAACTCCAGTCTGGAAGGTCCTCTTAAAATATTGTGGCTTTTCAATCTGACTCCAGACCATAAAAACTAATGAGGGTTACCATAATCAGGCAAGTGTCAACAAACAAACAAAAAACAGCAGCACACTCACAAAAATAAGCATGGATAAACCATAAGAGCAAAAAATAAAATGTATTGCACTTAAAATATTTATTAAATCTATAAAAATCTATGGCAGTCTTTACTAATTCTCCCGCACGGCCCCTTTTTTTTTTTTTAAACAATTTCTGAATTGTCAGAATCTTCTTGCAATAAATGTTCTGAAATGCAAATTACAAACTGGGGTTTTCCCTGCCCTATTCACTACTTCCTCTTACTGTGATTTCATGATTATAATAGCAAGCTCAGCATCTGTACTTTTCATAAAGGAAAGCAGACCTTGTTTAAGTAACATCTTAGTCACTAAAAATAAATCATCAGGAGTTGTTTGCAGTTTAACGTGTTTGCAATGTTTCTGCATAAGTGCCAACATTCCCTGCCCATCTTCCAGGACAGAGGGAAGCAGACCATGTACAGAGCGATGCTGAAGCGTTCCGTGCATGCTCCTTGTATTCAGTCCCCGCCTGCATTTTGAAATATTATGTTTACTAATCACTATGTTTAACAAACATGGGTGCCCAAGGCTCATTGATGCAGGTAGGGAGCAAAGGCTGGTCCGTCTGGTCCAATCTACAGAACCTACACCTGCCTACAGACTTTTGCAGACCACATACACCCCTTTGTAGTAATGGTGTTCCCTGATGTCAGTAGCCTCTTTCAGCAAGATAATGCATCCTGCCTCACTGCAATAATTGCTGAGGAATGGTTTGAGGAACATGGCAAAGAGTTCAAGGTGTTGCCTTGGCCACAAAATTCCCCAGATCTCAATCCGATTAGGCATCTGTGGAATGTGCTGGAGCAACAAATCCAATCCATGGCGACCCCACTTCCCAACTTGCAGGGCTTAAAGGTTCTGCTGCTAATGTCTTGGTGCCAGATACCACAGAACACGTTTAAGAGGTCTTGTGGAGTCGATGTGTGATGGCAGTCACTGTCACTGGGGATGGAAGACAGACACTATGTGTGGGTCCCCAGATTCCTTTTGTGTTTTGGTCACCCTGTGTCCATTATTGGTGCAGGGTATGTTGAATGTATTGCTTGTCTGTGCCTCTCCCCCTTTTTCTGTCCTATTGTTTCCCCAGCAGGGCGTTGTTCCAGGGACACTGCCAGACCAGTTTAAATTAGCTGCTTTAACTCTCTTAAATCTCTCATTAGCCCTTGCTATTGTCTGACCCCACCCTTTCTTGTACTATATTGCTTTATGCATCATTGTATGTAAATGAGGCTGTTGTGGGCTTAAAATATGTGTGCTATGTGTATTAAAGTCAGTTGTTTTAACTTTCACCATATGTCATCTGGTGTTTGGGGGAATCAGTGATTCCAGTCAAGCCTCGACGACTGGGTCTTAAGTGTTCCAGGGTCCCTGATAGCTACAAGGAAGCAGACTTGGCGGAGGTACTCGGTCGGAGTACTGGAGCTCCGTCACTCTATGTCTCAACACATGAGAACTGTCTTGGCAGCTCGATGGATCCTACACAATATGAGGGGGTGATTTTATATTGTGGCTGATCAGTGTAAGTATTGTGTGAAAAATAAAATTAAATATAGAAATCCACACTTCTTTATCCTGCAACGCACGCCTCCATCTTAAGTCAATCATTTTTACAAACTCTGTAATTTATACCTTCAAAGTGTTAAATTCTTACACTTTGTATAAAATGCTGACATTTGTGCTAATTTTAGTCCCCAAATAAGAATATTTGGAGGCATTTCAGAAGCTTTTCCCAAATTTACATTAATAAATATCCAAATTGCAGTTTTCAGTGAATAACACTGGCTGAATCAAATTTAATTTGACAATACACCCAACTGACTGTAGCCCATATACCAGCGTAGCTAAGGGTAATGGGCCTTGACATTGCTAGGAGACAGGCATATAGTGACGTGGGTGTGTGGAATTGGTGACAAACAGCATTGTGGGTGGAGTTTCAAGGCCATATATAAAGGGGCTATTTTAGGTTAAGGGGACATTTTAAATAAGCTGCAGTTACCTGTTGTTTGGACAGGTTTTTGTGTAATGTTTTCCCTTTGTCTCCTTTGCAGGATTTTCTCAGCTCAGGATGGAAGGTTGGCTAGCAGGAGTCAGGGGCTCCAGGGCCATTTAGGTGATGCTTTGCCATCTTGATCTGCCATGTCCCCAGCGCGGAGGTCCGCTCGGAGATCCAGGCCCCCTCCGAGATTGAGCCCCAGCACGTGCTGGGTACGAGACGACAGTGGAGTCCATCTGGAGATGTCGGAGGCAAAACCGGGAGTGGAGAAGTCTGTGGGAGGCATCAGCGTGCGGGCAGACGTTCGGGATGTAGCAACAGGAACAAGGCTCCGTCTGAACGGTCGGGCCACGAACAAGAGGATTCCCTTGTGACCACACGTTTGGGCCGCAAACCAGGAGGTATGGAAACTACCAAATGTTCGGGCTGTGCACCTACAGGTACAAAATCTTACAAAGGCCTTTTGCATGCGGCTGAGCAAATTTCTTATTACAGTTTCAACTGCGTTCGGCAGAAGGGCTACAACGTTCTATTCGCACAGTGAAAGCAGGAATGATGCAGGACGAATGGCAGACTTTGAAACAGAATCTGGTAACGCTGGAAGTGCTGCTTGGAGTGGAAGAGTGGAGACATCAGTTGTTCATCAGCCGGGTGAGTCGGTTCCCAACACCGTTGCCCCCACCTTTGCAAGCCCAAGGGTTTCCCCTGAGGTGGGCCACAGTACAGGTTTGGTTGGCACCAGGAGGGTGGCAGACGGTAGGCATACGGCTAGACAAACGGCAGTGAGATTGCACCACAAATAAAGATGGGATTTGGGACTGTGGCTGACCATACAGGGTTTGCCTGACTGCCTCCCAACTTTAACACACCACTACTCAAGCGGCACTACCCTGTTCGACAACGCTCCATAATTTCCCCTGACAGGTTACAGGAGCGTAGTGTGTCACCTCCCAGGATAATGTTAAGGTGACATGGGGTGAGTCGAGAGGCAAGCAGCAGGGAGTATGCATATAGGGATGATGCCGAGGGACCCCTCGGGGTGCTTTCCTCATGGGTGGATGTCCAACGCTGCACTGAGGAGTGTGATGTCAGGTTCCATAGGGACGCTGATAGGTATCGGTCTAGGAGAAGTCATCGTAAGGGGATGGACAGCGACGGCAGGGGGTCCCCTTCAGGATATGCATGGTGGAGTATTTCGGATTCCCCTGTTAGGATTTAGTACCGGAGGCATAATGGGTCTAGATCTACTAGCGGGAGTTCTCCAGAGATGGGCGCTCATGGCCCTATGGGTTAGGACGCCAGTGGGGGATTAAGTCACGGTTCCCACTCAGGAGTAAGGCAGGTCAGGGATAGTACGGCCAGCCTACCCAGTATGTCCTCTCCTTACCGGTCGCCAAGACAGTCGCCCACGGATCGGGTGAGATCACGCACTGTAAGGTCGCCAAGACGGTTCCCCACGGATCGGGTGAGACTGAATTCACCAAGACGGTTGCCCATGGATCGGGTGAGACCATACGCTGGGAAGTCGTCTAAATGGTTGCCCTCAGATAGGGTGAAACCTGCTGCTGGAGAAGTACGCCTTGAAGCACCGGAGCGCTTGGGTCATGACAGTGGATTTCGGTTGACGCCCCCACGGCCTTTAGCGGCAAGGGGTTCAGAGGGTGAGTCACATTCAGTACATCGTTCAGGGGATCTGTTAGAAGGTTTAAACAATTTCCTAGATTCTTGGAGTGCAGGTAGGGGAAAGCATATGAATTTTTGTCAGGTTTGGGTGCCAAGGGGGGAAGGTTTAGGGTCAAGCACAGTTGGGGTCCCTGTTGTAGGAAGGAGTGCAGAGGGGGAGACAGTGGCAACATTGGCTGTTTCGGCATCAATTGAGTTAGGGAGTGAGCGGGCGTATTTACTCAGGGGTATTCCGGATACGGGACCTTTGGGCTGTCATTTTAAGCCCGAAGTGAAGGAACGTATTTGAAAAGGGAAGTTTGTGGAGATCTATTTCTATTGGAGAGCTATATTCACTCTGGGGATTGCTTTAATCACTATACTCCCTTGGATCACGATTGCTCTTGTAAGAGCAATAAATCCGATATAGGAAACGGTACAACCACACTATAAATCAAATATAATTAAATAGGGGCGGCAACAAAACACCGGCAAGCGACTGAATTGAGCAATTAACTCACAATAAACCAAAAGGTGTGTGCGCTCCAAATGAAAAATCACAAACTAAATAGTTAAATATAAAATTATAAATCTTTTAATAATCATCAAATAAAAGACTAACATAAAATAATTCAAAAGCTGTTTCACAACCTCCCTAATGATTATACCCATATTGGAATGCTGGAAATAGAGTTAGAAACCGTAATAATGGTTAGAAACAGGCCCGGACTGGCCATCGGGCATACCGGGCAAATGCCCGGTGGGCCGCGGTGTCCATGGGCCGAGGCCGGCAGGGGAGGTCCCAGGATCTCCCCTGCCGGTCTATGCAGGGCCGGCACTATCCGAGCGCCGGCCCCGCTGTTTGCGACGACGGGCCGGTGGGGAGATCAAAGCTCTCCCTCACCGGCCCACATGCGGCCGCCGGCGGGGAGGGAGACAGGCAGCCAGCCAGGCTGGAGAGAGGACCCGGCGGAGCTCTAACTTGCGGCTCCGCCGGGTTCCTCTCGCGAGATCCGGCGCGTTGCTATGGCAACGACCGGATCTCGCGAGAGTGAACTCTAGCCTCACAGGCTAGAGTTCACTCACCCACGAGGACCACCAGGGAACACTGCCTCCCCGCCTCCCAGTCACCAGCATGCCGCCCCCCCCCCTCCAAGGCTAAAGGTAAGAAGGGAGGGGGGGACATAATGCCTGTTTTTTATTTTTTTTTATTTACCCCCCCTACACACACACAATAACATTTATACAGCACTCACACACCCATCACACACAGCACTCTCTCACACAGCATCACACTCACAGCACTCTCACAGAGCACTCTCTCACACAGCTCTCACACACACACAGCACTCTCTCACACCCATCACACTCACAGCACTCTCACAGAGCACTCTCACAGAGCACACTCTCACACAGCACTCTCACAGAGCACTCTCTCACACAGCACTCTCTCACACAGCACTCTCACACACACCCATCACTCTCTCACACAGCACTCTCACACCCATCACACTCACAGCACTCTCTCACCCATCACACTCACAGCACTCTCTCACACCCATCACACTCACAGCACTCTCTCACCCATCACACTCACAGCACTCTCTCACAGCACTCTCACACCCATCACACTCACAGCACTCTCTCACAGCACTCTCACAGAGCACTCTCACACACAGCACTCTCTCACACACAGCACTCTCTCACACACAGCACTCTCACACCCATCTCACACAGCATTCTCACATCCATCACTCACACACAGCACTCTCACACCCATCACTCACACACGGCACTCTCACACACACACGGTACTCTCACACACATCACACACACGGCACTCTCACACACACACCGCACTCTCACACACACACATACTGCACCCCCCACACACACACACATACTGCACCCCTCACATACACACAGAACCCCCCCAACACACTGCACCACACACATACACAATACTTCCAAATATATACACACACACACACACACACACACTACACTCTTAAAGGACCACTCTAGCCACCCAGACCACTTCAGCTTAATGAAGTGGTCTTGGTGCCAGGTCCTTCTAGGGTTAACCCATTGTTTTATAAACATAGCAGTTTCAGAGAAACTGCTATGTTTATCATTGGGTTAAGCCTTCCCCCAAAGCCTCTAGCAGCTGTCTCATTGACAGCCGCTAGAGGTGCTTGCGTGCTTTTCACTGTGAAAATCACAGTGAGAGCACGCAAGCGTCCATAGGAAAGCATTATAAATGCTTTCCTATGCGACCGGCTGAATGCGCGCGCATCTCTTGCCGCATGCGCATTCAGCCGACGGGGCGGATCGGAGGAGGAGAGCTCCCCGCCCGGCACTGGAAAAGGGTAAGTTTTAACCCCTTTCCAGAGCCGGGCGGAGGGGGTCCCTGAGGGTGGGGGCACCCTCAGGGCACTATAGTGCCAGGAAAACGAGTATGTTTTCCTGGCACTATAGTGGTCCTTTAACATACACACTCTGGATCCCCTATACACACACACTAGATTCCTTGTAAGCAAACACATACTACACCCCTAAACACACACACACACACTATAGCCTGTATGCACACACTTGCTATATCCCCAATACACACATTCTCTACAGCCCATAGCCACATATGCATCACATTACACCACAAACACAACACGACTAAAACCGACCTTATTACACAATACCACACCACGACCAGCTCACTCTACACACACGCAATACCACAAGCAGGCTCCAAACACATGCACAATACTCTTTCCTGGCCTTTTGTCTCCTGGTATCCATTTATAGACACCAGAGACAAGTTACAAGGAAACACAGTGCAAGCATGTTATTAAACTTGCTTGCACTGTGCAGAACAAATACAGGACTTTTTTCTCATGCTAGAGCTCTTCAGCAGAGCTCTGCGCATGGTCTGCCCTGGAAGAGCATTGAACCAACATGCTCACTTTGAGAGGAGGCGTGTTTGTCATTGGTGATGACAAAACACACCTCCTCTGCCCCGCCCCCTTTTTAGTGGGCCGCTGTGTTAAAAAAATGCCCGGGCCGAATTTTTCTCCCAGTCCGGCCCTGGTTAGAAATACACAAAATAGCAACAAAATATAAAACAGTTAATTAAATACTCAGCATAGTATCCATATATAACTAAGTTAATAGCTTTAAACATGTCAGAGAATCATATAAAAATACATCAAAGGTATGGATAATATGCATAAAGAAACATACACAACAAAAAATATATATACATCAAAAAATATAAAAAATACTAATAAATAAATAGTACCCGACATCGGTGTTTCTAACCATTATTACGGTTTCTGACTCTATGTACAGCATTCCAATTTGGTTATAATCATTAGGGAGGTTGTGAAACAGCTTTTGAATTATTTTATGTTACTCTTGTAAGAGCAGCCTGCTTTGCTCTCTGGACTAGGAGAGGTCTACCCTCTGGAAGCTGGATCCTGGTCTTGGGTCCAGGGTGGATGGAGGATAGCGAGACCCCAACCAAGCTGCGGCGGTTTGTGGGGTTTACGGTGGTTATGGTGTTTCAGTGCAGTGCTTATGGTGCTCACAAATACTAGGAAGCAGCGATTGACGGAGGTACCTGGTCGGGGTGCCAGGCGATCCGTCACAAGTGTCGTATGAGTAGTTTGATCAGGTGGTTGATTTGGTTCGGTGGGCGGGCCGCGGAGCACTGTTGGCCAAGGCAGATGTGGAATCAGCATTTCGTCTCCTACCAATTTACCCCAAATGTCATAATTTTTAAAAAAAGTTAGCACCTTTTTGGAGTGGGTGGTCAGGGTCGAGTGTGGTCCACTATCTGGATGATTTCCTGTGGTCGCGCCTTCCGATTCAGAGGCTTGCCGAATAGGATTGAGAACGTTGGAATGGGTGGCGCATGTTTTTGGTGTACCTTTGGCGGGTGACAAGACGGTTGGTCCCATAACGTGTTTGGGGCTTGGATTAGATTCCGTCAGCGGAGAATGTCGTTTGCCAGAAGACAAATTGCTTACTCTTCGCGGGGCGGTGCCGCAGGAAGACAAAAAAGTTACGTTACGAAATTTGCAGTCTTTGATTGGTCGTTTGAACTTCGCATGCCGGTAGGATATTTAACAGGTTCTTGGCAAAGGCTGCTGGGGGGTGTTCCCTCATCATTTCATTCAGGTCACGGTATCCATGAAATATGATTTGGACATCTGGGTGGTTTTTCTCCGTGAGTTTAATGGGCGGGTCTTTTTTCGGGATTCAGCAGTTTCTTCTCCAGAAAGTTTGGGTTTTGGGGCTTACTTTTCCGGGCAATGGTGTGCAGGAGCATGGCCAGAGGAATGGAAGGCTAGCCCGCTTATCCGCAATTTAGCTTTTCTAGAGCTATTTCCCCAGTGGTAGCATTAGCTTTGTGGGGTCACCAATTGCGGGATAAGAAGATGATATTCTTTATAGATAATATGTCGGTAATGGCCGTAGTAAATAGACTTTCTGCTTCCTCTATTCCTGTGGTTTGGCTTCATTGGCCGCTTTGTCTTGTACTTGTTTTTTAAATGTTATTGCTGATTCACTGTCTCGTTTGCAGTAAGCGAGGTTTCATCGGGTGGCTCAAGGCGCGCAAGTGAAGGGTTTGTCCAGTCCGGAAGAAGTGTGGCAGCTCGGCGGACTGATAAGGGAGTCTGTGGTGCCTTCTACTTGGGCACTGTACAGTAAGGTGTGGCAAGAATGGGATGACACGTTGAACTATGCGGGGGGTAAGCTTTCAGCGGATGCACTGTTGGACACGTTATTATGGTTTTTATGCCATTTGTTTCGGATGCATCTCCTGCAATGGTTGGGCATCAATTGTCAGCTTTAGCCTTTTTATTTAGGCTTAATAGGTGGGAGGATGTTATGAAGCATTTTATTGTTCATCAAGCTCTCAAAGGCTTTAGGAAGGGGAGGATGTCGGTCGACTCTAGGAGGCCAGTGTCGTTCGACATTCTCCAACGGGTAGTTCAGGTGCTACCTAAAGTGTGCTTCTCCCAGTACGAAGTCTTATTGTTCTCTGTGTTTTTAGGTGGGCCTTTTGTGGGGCATTTGGAGTTAGTGAGTTGGTCAGTGCCAATCATTTTGGGGGTTGGGTCTACAGTCTTTAGATATCGAATTGTGGCATAACAGGGTGGTTATTAATTTGCGTCGTTCCAAAATGGATATTTTGGGGAAAGGCTGTTTGGTGACGTTATTTTCATTGCCCGAAATTGGAGTGTGTCCATTTTTTTTGTGCAGAGGCTTTTCTAAGGGTTCGTGTGGAGACAAGGGGTTCCGTTTTCCTGCATGCAGATGGCTCCGCCCCATCGAAGTATCAGTTCGTCTTATCAGGGTCTTCAGGTTGGCCTTGGCACGCTTAGGCATGGATACAGTTCAATTTGGTTCTCATTCCTTTAGGATTGGCGCTGCGACAGAGGCTGCTCGATTGGGTAGATGGGAATCTGTGAGGTTCAGATCCTATGTTGTTTTTTTCCAATGTATCATTTTTATTGGTTTTTATCATGGAAATATAAACAGCGGGGTACAGAAATGAAAAAGGGATAAGGGTAAAGAATTACACACAAGCAGGTCACATTGTTGAGTGCAAATACTATTGATTCTTACACACACATGTTGCGCAAGATACATTGTATGGTTACATTGTTGTGTGAGCAATTTTTCAGATCTGCATCATTGCCTGCGTGGTTAGCTGCTGGGGATGATGGGGTTAAGGGGGGTGGGGGGGGACAGGGGAGGGTCAGCAACCGGGTAAGGGTAAGGGTGGTGGGTTGAGATGTCTCTACACCTTGTTGTGTTTTGCGGTGGCTCATTTAGCCACTGTTCTCCAGCTACCTCTGCTTATGCGGGAGTTTAGCTTAGGGGGGCTTCCCTGTATTTCTTTTTCCTCGTACATCTGGGGTGGGTTAGTCCCCTATTACTGTTTTCTCTTCGCTGACCTAGGACGACACGGGCTCCGTCTCATTGTCCAGACCAGTTGGACCAGATCAGGTTGTATCGTGCTAGGGTGCCCTGGATCGTATGCGCTATTTTCTCAAGGTGTTGCGTGAGGTTTATTCTGTTAACTACCACTGTTATTTCCGGGGCTGAGGTAGATTTCCAGAGGGAGGCTATACAGTGTTTGGCTGCTAAGGTAACATGGGTGGTCAGCACCGTCTCCGGGTGAGTCAGTGATTTGGGAAGCATGTGTAGGAGGTAAGCCTCCGGTGTGAATGGTATCCTTTTCTGTATACTGCTTTGGAGTAACACCTGTACCTGTCTCCAGAAGTTGTGTAGTACTGGACATTGCCAGAAGATATGGCTCAAAGTACCCGTCTGTGCGCAGCAGCGCCAGCATACCTGTTGTGCCCCTGGTTATATAAGTGCCAGCCTCCGTGGGGTGAGATACCACCTCATCCAGAGTTTATAGGCCGCCTCAACATGGTCCAGGCAGTGTGTGGCTCGTTTCACAAGCGCCATCGCTGCGGACCATTTACTACTCTCTATTGTGCTATTGAGTTCAGATTCCCAGTGTACCATGTAGCTTAACTTATCAGGCTTGCCTATCTCCAGGAGATTTTGGTAACATAGAGAGAGTGGTTTTGCTTGGGTCTTACGCCTGAGGCACAGTGTGTCGAACGAGCCCGGCTCTCTGGTGTTGGGTGTCGCTTGTTTGATCCCCTGCATTATGTGCTTAATGCGAAGGTAGGTGAAGAGTTCCCTACCCGGGATGAGGAAGGTCCGCTGAAGTGTCGGGAATTGTCTGATCTCACTACCCTCCATTATTTGGGATACCCTCTCTATCCCCTGTGCCAACAACCCGTCTAGAACCAGATCTTGTGTGAGGTATTTTAGGCTAGTCATGGGGGCATATAGTATCAGAGGTTGGGCTAGGAGTTTCGGTGCCCACCTGTGCCATATGTGGAGAGAATGTTTTGTGGTCACCAGCATGTTTGCGTCGCGTGGGTGCGATCTGGTCGGGACCCAGAGTAAGTCTAATAGTGCATGGGGCGTAGCAGTTGCCGTTTCTAATTGGTACCACAGGGGGCGGTTTGGGGTTCTCAGCAATCTTGCTGTTTGGGATAGATTCGTGGCTATGTAGTATTTAGAAATATTGGGTACACCCAGCCCCCCTTTCCCCATAGCCAGGGTTGTGCTTGCCAGAGAAACCCTAGGTGGTTTCTTCTTCCATATGTGCGCGTTCAACAGACGCTGGAATCGTTGTAGTAGCCCCTTCGGTATCTCAATAGGGAGGGCCCTGAAGAGGAATAATATTTGGGGGAGTATGATCATTTTTATGGAGTTTATGCGTCTCAGCCATGATGTGTTTTTTGCCCCCCAGCTCTCCAGCAGTGTCTCAGTTTTATTTAACAAGGCGTCATGGTTATGTCGGAGTAGGTTGCGTCTTGAGGGTGCCAGTTTTGTACCTAAGTAGGAGAGATTGTCTTTCCGCCAGTCAAAGGGGTACTGAGCTCGCAGGGGAGTTAGGTGAGGGTGGGGCACGTTAAAGGGTAATACCTGAGTCTTTGCTTCGTTGTTTTTGTAATAGGACACTAGGCCATAATCATGGAGCAGGAGTAGGAGATGTTTCAGTGATTCTGTCGGGTTAGTCAGAAATAGCAGGATGTCGTCAGCAAAGGCCGCTTTTTTTTGGGGACCTATTAGTGTGGGGATACCCGTGACGCACTCCTCCTGCTTAATTGTGTGCATTAGCAGTTCTAGTGACAAGATAAAGATAAGGGGCGACAATGGGCATCCCTGTCTTGTGCCATTTGTCAGGGCAAAGCGTCGAGAGGTGAAACCGGAGCTCACCACCACGGCCGTCGGGGAGGAATACAATGACCAGAGGCCATTGAGAAATTCTTCGGGGAATCCAAACCTGCGGAGGACCTCCGTCATGTAGCCCCAGTGTAGCCGGTCGAAGGCCTTCTCCGCGTCAAGGGCCATTAGTAGTCCCTGTGTTCTATGTACTGTCAGGAGTTCCATTATGTCTAGTGCACGCCTTGTGTTGTCCTCTACCTGGCGTTCAGGGACAAAACCTGATTGTTCCGGAGAAACGAGTGTACCCAGGAGGGGGCGTATTCTGTTGGCAAGAATTTTAGCAAAGAGCTTTGTGTCCGCGTTAAGCAGGGAGATGGGGCGATAGTTCTCGCAAAATTCAGTGGGCTTGCCCGGCTTGGGAATAGTAATTATGGTGGCCTCTAGCATTTCGGGGGGTATGGAGCCTGACTCCATGATGTTGTTGAACAGGGAGGTCATGTGGGGAAGGAGTTGGTCCTCAAAGGTCTTATAATAGTGAGCGGGGAAGCCGTCAGGCCCTGGGGCTTTATGTCGGGGGGTTTCTCTAAGTGCTTTTGAGATTTCCTCTGGAGTGATTGTGCTGGTGAGTAGTGAGGCTTGGGCGCTGGTAAGCTGGGGGAGTTCCATTTTGTCTAAGTAGGCGGCTATCTCCATTGGGGTCGGCTGGTGTTGTAGAGGATCTTTCCCCAGGTTATAGAGGGCACCGTAAAATGTCGCAAATTCATCAGCTATCAGCTTGGGGTTCGTCAGTTTCGTCCCGTTTTTATCTACTAGGTATGGTATGCGCGTTTGGGCGTGTTTGTCTTTCAGTTGAGCGGCCAGCAATTTCCCCGCCCTGTTCCCCTGTCTGTAATATTCGCTTTTGAGTTTGCGGAGAGCCCTCTCATCTCGCTGGAGTTGGTGGACTTCCAAGTCAGCTCTAATCTCATTGACAGCCTGTCGTGTCACGTCAGAGGGTGAGGATTTGTGGAGGTCCTCCGCAAGCCTCAGGTCCCTGAGCTTTGCTCTGCTGGTTTCCTCTAGTTTGCGTTTTAGTGTCGCTCCAACCCTAATCAGTGCACCTCGTATCACGGCCTTATGGGCCAGCCACGTCGCAGCCATGGTTGTGTCCTGGGGCTTCTTGTCCGCAAAGTAATTCACTATGATTTTGCTTATCTCAGCAGCCCGTTCAGCGCTATCTATGAGGGATGCATTGAGGCGCCACGTGCCCCGTCCTCTCACCGGATGTAAGGTGGTGAATGAGGACAGCAAAGGGGCATGGTCTGACCAGGTGATTGAGTCGATGGTGACCCTAGTCAGAGTGTCCAGGGATTTCTCATCCACCAGGCACATGTCAATGCGGGAGTATTGGTCATGGACTTTCGAGTAGAAAGTATAATCTCTGGTGGCCGGGTAGAGGGAGCGCCACGTGTCGTGAAGGCCATGGGAGTGTAAGAGAGCTGAGAGCCTGTCACCGATAGATACAGAGTGAGGGTGGGAACCTGGAGTGCCAGATCTGTCCAGGTCTGGGTCAAGTACACAGTTAAAGTCCCCGCAGACATAAGTTTGGCCCTGTTTTATCCTGTCCAGCGTTTTTAGGGATTTCCTGATAAAGTCATATTGGTTGGAGTTAGGAGCGTAAAGGTTTGCCAAGGTGACCGGGATATCGTTTAGCCTACCCACCAGAATTAGTAGCCTACCATCAGCGGTTTTGTGCTCTATCGTGCACGTGAAGGCCCAGTCCGAGTGGATTAAGATACTGACTCCCCTGGTTTTATTGGGCGCTAAAGCATGGTAGGAGACGGGGTACCTGGCTGAGAGGAATTTTGGGGGGTTTATTGCTGAGAAGTGTGTCTCCTGTATGCAGGCTACTGAAGCGTGCAAGGCGCGGAGCTGGGAGAAGGCAAGCCTGCGTTTTTGCGGAGTGTTCAGGCCTCGGGCATTTAGGGACAGAACATTAAATTGGTGTTGGGAAGACATCAGTTGAGACCGGGGGGG